TTCCAGCCTGAATGATTTTGATTTTGTGTGTGTGTTGTTCTGGTTTCAGTGTGTTGCAGGTTTTCTGTTTTGTTTTGGGTTTGTTTTGTTTGCTGGGTTTTTTTGGGGGAAAAAAAAAGGTTGGAATTTGTTTTGGGGAATCTATTTTAAAATTCCTCTTTGAAAGTTGGGGCTTAGAACATGGATTTCTACTGAAATGAATGCGTTGTGTTTCAAGGAATAGCTTCTGTGATAATAAAAGAATTAAAACACATACATTCATTGCTTTTACTTTGTAGATTTTGCTTATTACAGTAAAGGGTAACCTTTAAACAGATAGACCACTGGTTTCTCCTGTAACACAACTTCTTTTTCAGTTCTTATGGAGTAGATATAAGCTAGGAGATTGCTTGTATACAAGTTCTAGATACCCAGTCAGAACAAAGATTTTTCAGGAAATTGTATATTTCAAGAGTAGAGTGGGAATAGATTCAGGTTAATTTTACCCCCTCTGGCTCTTCTCCACTTAACCACCTCCAACAAAAATTGCAATTACTGCAATATTATTTTGAGCATTCCTAAATGTCAAGTATTTGGTGCTGCTAACAAATGATAACTATGTGGGACGTTGTCCCATACAGCACCTTCATGGGATGTGTGAATCCCAGGTTATTTCCTCTTTGGCTTATTTAGGATAGAAACTTAAACTTTGATCTTCAGTTACTAGGAAAGGAAACTGTTGTTACAGATTTGTTCTAGCTTGAGTCCTGAAGTCTTGTAATATAGTTAATCGTCACTGATTTTAGTCACAGTGGGCTGGAACCTGTTGCCCTTTTCTCATCCAAATGTTGTGGGGTGTAGAATCACTGTTTCAGAGAACCTCCAAGTATTTAGTCAGCTGATACAAAGCAGAATATCTCTAGCAAGAGGGTGCCCAAACCCCCATTATTAGGACTCTCTACATGAAAGTTAGGAGTCTGAAATTTGGGTCTGGTTGTGAATGTTGCAGAGAAAGGATCCAAATTTCAGTCTTTGATATCTTAGCTAACCAGTGTGGCTGTAGGTCATGAGATTGGATGACAGCAATGTGTCACTCTCCCCTCTTCGTTGTTCTGTCTGCTTTGTGACTAGGCCAAGGTTGCCCTGTGAGTCCAGTCTTTCATTTCTGGATGTCCTCAAGTGCTTAGGAATCAAGTGGAGGAAGTGCTCCTGCCTTGGTCTGAATCAAGCTGAAGCATTGCTGTTGTAGTATACTATATTCTGTGCACAGAAAGATAGTCCACTGGGATATCTTGGAGCTAGAATCTTTGAAATCTAAACATTCAAAATGCCCTTTGAAGGGAAGAGGTGATGTCTTGGGTTTATCATTGATACCGATACGTGTTCCTATTCATTCATGTGATTGGTATTTGGATTTCAGGTCTTGTCTTTAGTAACATTTCTCAGTGGTTTTAATCGGCAATGTTCTTTTCCAAATCCTTTCCCATATAAATAATGGTTATATGGGATATCACTGAACAGATGGTTCTTGTTCATACACAGAGTCCTATCAGAAACAGTTAAATAGGTTTTGGTGTGAAAGTAGAGTTAGTCTGAGCTGTATTAATTGTGCAATTAACAGCGAAGGTTCTTCTGTATGCTACAAGTATTAACCAGGAAAGTCCATGCCAAATATCAAGCTACAGATTCAGCTGAATATTGATTTTTTGCTTCCAGGAGCAAAATATTCTTTATAGAGGATGTTGCCATTATTGCTCTAAACCTCTCTTACAAAAGTTGGTTTGTTGGTTTTTTTTATACAGTATCTGCAGTAACAGAGTGTTTAAAAGCGGGCTTCATCTCACCTAATTCTTGGTGTCTAAAAATAAAAAACTAAAGTGTCTTTGCTCACTCTGCAATAGCTGAGGAGGGACAAGTATGTCTGTTGGTAATTCATCCCACCCTAAATGCAGTGTCTAAGCTGCGTGGGATGAATTGCTCTCCAGTGGTGAGCCATTTGACCTTTAAATGGCAGCAGGTGAGATGGGTCCAGTCCACAATCAATAGGAAGCAGAGGTTCTGCAATGAATGGTGTGTCCTTCAAATGGGTGGTTGTCTTACGGGGGTTCTCTTATCTCTGTAACTGCTCTGTTACGGTTGCCAGATTACCCCCTCCCTCCCCAGAACTTCCTTTCTGAGGTTCCTTGTCTCCAAGCAGTTTCTGTCTGGGTTGAAGGAAGGAAGAGGAAGGGAAAATAATTAGGGTAGGTTGTTGTTGTTTTTTTTTTAATAAAAAATCAGCTTTCTAAATAAGACCAAGGACTTTGTATCCCCTGATTATTTGTTTTATAAGGAGAGAAAGAAAAAGCAAGGCTCACTCAGTATGTTAGATTAGAAACTGATACCTCAGAGACTTGGTACACAGTAAAAGTTGCTTGGCCAGTATGTTTTACTTAGCAAGATGAAATTTCTCTTCAGAGCAGAGGCCAAATGTCTCAGGATTGTGGAGGACGTGCTGGAGAGGGAGGAACTCAAAACATTATTAGGAAGAAATGTCTTATTTCTCTGGAGTGTACCAGTGACCCAGCCTTCCAGAAGCTATTTACCTGTACATATATTTTCATGCTCTCCACCTTTTGGGCTTTTTTCTTACATTCTTTTGGTGGACAATGAATCTTAAGGATTATTTATTTAGCCTGTTGTTAGATACATAGAGAGACAAAAAGAGAATTTCTAACCAGTAGATGACTATTAGGAGGAAACATGACAAGGGGCCAAACAATAACAGCAACAGCCAAACCTTAGCTGTTTTTGGAACAGAACTTCAGCAAAATCAGGTCCTTGGACTGCTCATGATGCATTTAAGATAGTTTGGAAGGATAAGGACTTCTGAGATCTGGTGTCTTCCTTCAGACTTCCTTATGCAGTCTGTTGGGGAAATCTTTTTTGGTTTTAAAAAATGAAGTGTCATGAAAGACTGGCTTACTAAAATATACATACTAGAATACACTGGTGATTCATATTAGTGGGAAGTGGAGCAGTAATGATTTTAAGTGTACGGAAGGAATTTGGTGAAGCTGCTAATGTACAAAAATATTCTAATTAAAACCAGTTGGAAAATGAGATTGCAGTAAATGGTATTTGTATCTTCAAAAATTGGGGGAGGATGATATGAATGCTTTCTTACATAATATCTTGCTAACCTCTGGGGCTTAGTGCTGTATGATATTTAATCAGAAGAGCTTAGTATGGTTCAAAAATAATTAGACTGTTGAACGTATAACATTCATTTATACAAAAAAACCCACACCCATAAACCTGGTTGTTAGATCCACAGCCTTATTTTATTATAACCAAGTGAGTCAAATTAAACATCATTGTTAATGAACTTAACACAGCAGAGGCAAAGCAGTACAGATTCTGTAAAGGAAAACTGAGCTGTGCACATCTGTGCAAATTAATGTTAATGAATAAAGACATGGCTGTGTCTCATAAATTTCTTAAAAGCTTTGAAAGAAAGGCTGTCTGGTTTTCAGTATACCACAACTAATTCTAGTTTTGTTTTAAAGTTCCATCCTTGCACAGCTGTTAATATATATTTATTCAGAAATTTGACTAATTTAGTAGTAGCTGAATGGTATGACTTCTGTAAAACTTGCAATTGGTTCAAAATTACTTAAGTAGCTGAAATTAAGAGAAGACTTGTGTGTTCCCTTGGGATCCCAAGCAGGGTGGGCACCTGGCAGTGTGTGAGACACAGCCCAAGCCGAGACCTGTGCAGGCATGTGTATGTCATGGAAAGGTTTTTGGTTTTTAGTAGCTTCTAACATAGCTGCAGCTGTGTTGAGACAAGTTGTCAGGCTTGGAGCAGTGGGTAGAGTTTCAGTCTCATGCTTCCAACATGCAAACAGTGCCCAAGCAAACAAAAGTAGCGATGGCTTGAAGCATGCTGCTAAATTCTGGTCGTCCATTTAAAAATAGAAGAGAGAGATATCTACTGCTATAGGAGAAATCAGAATCGGAAAGGGATGAGTTTGTGAGGATATATACATTCCATAATTAATGATTTACAGGAAGCAAGATGAGCAGTGTTTATTTTGACCACGTTACAAGAACAGAGACATTCAATACCCTGAACATTAATTAAAAACTGCTTCCTTATTCCTTGCGTAATGTCTTGCTAATGTGTGGAGCTCTGTGCCACATGATAGCTAATCTGAAAAGTTTAATAACATTGAAAAATAATTAGACTTTTGGATGGATACCATCCTCTGTTATCTTATACAGGCAAAAGATAAACTCTGCAGCTTCAAAGACAAGTTGGTAATGTCCAACATTCAAAAAACTTGACTGTCAGCCGCTGCTCATTAACAAAGCTTGAGTATCAGTCGTTGCCACTGCTCGGTTACGAGAGAGAACAGGGGCAGACAGTCTGACAGTAGATACTGCTTGCTGAAAAACGCGTTTGCAAATAGTCTGTTTTCTGGGCTGCATAGCTTTTGCTTTGAAAATATAAAACCTTGAGATAGTGAGTGAAATGATGTGTCTTATGTACCGCTTGTCTCAGGGTGCGTGTTTGTGCATAAACTCAAATACTGCAAAGGGCTATCATCAGAAAAGCTGCTAAAACTAGTATTATAGTTATTGGCAGAATTCTGTCATGGCTATACTCATTTTGATTTTTTATTATTTTTTAATTCAAGATGTATGTTTACTACGTGTGACTTGTGTTGGCATAGCATGCCTTCTAGAGCAGGGAGAGTGAGTGAGATGGCCTGCTTGTTTGCGTATCTACACCAGGGCGTCAGCTACGGAAACCCTGTTGACACTGCTTGTACTTGAACCATGGAGAGAACAATGTAACTGTAAAATTAATGGTTGATATGAAAACATCTTACATAAGTTTGCAGAGTATAACAGATTTTTTTCCGATCTTACTTTGTAAAAACAACTTACATGATCAGATTTATTGTATGAATTTGTTGGGGATCTTACGAGATTTAAATGAGCAAGCATCTTAAAGTTATCTGCATTTTTTGCAGGGTATTATAGAAAAATCGAAAGTGAAAGGAATTCCTATCATTATTGATGCCGTAAGTATTTTCTTGATTCAGCCAGTGGTTTGACATTTAAGGATCTGTCCCAGTAAATTATCTTCTTACTGGTTTTTGCAGGATGGACTGTGGCTCATTTCCCAGCAGCCTTCTCTTATTCAAGGCTACCAGCGAGCTATTCTTACTCCAAACTACATGGAGTTTAGTAGACTGTATGAAGCCATGGTGAGCTGTTTTCCTTTTTGATGTTTAAGTACGTGCAAGTTTAGTCTTTTAGTCTTTATTAAAAAAACCCAACTTATTACCAGCTTAAACATTGTGTACTGTTTCTTACATGTGAGAGAAGCATTCTTTGGGTTTTTATTCCATGGGATAATTGCCACAACAATGCATGTTCTTAGACAGAGCTCTTTTTAAAAAAAGACCCTTTCCTGTGCATTTTTTGGCACTGCAGTGGAGGAAAAAATATCTGGAAAGACTGATGATGATGCCTTTTTTTTTTTCCCCTCCCTGATATATATGCTGAAGTAGCATGTGTTAGAGTATGTTGTTCTAGTAGTAAAATATGTACTGTGTATGGAATTCTTGTGTTGTAGCTTAGAGACCCCGTAGACAGTAGTGATCATCATGGATGTGTATTAAGACTCAGCCAAGCCATGGGGAATTTGACAATTGTTCAAAAGGGAGAAAGAGATCTTATTTCAGATGGAGAGAAAGGTAAGTGAAGCCTTTTGCATTTAGCAATGTGCTCTTTCATTTTGTTTTGTTTGCTTTCAACTGTAGTCCAGTATAGTAATTGGTTGACTGTATTCCCCTGAAGATGGAAGGGGAGGGATGACTGTCTGCAGTTCACCTGTAGATGATTTGTGTAAATTAATATTTTAGAAGAGTGCAGCTTAATCTATTTGCTGAAAAAAGTTGCTGGTGTTATTTCTTGTTTAAATGGCTATAACTTATTGTTTACGTTACACAGGTATTAAATTATTTTGTTTGTATTTGTGAACTGTTTTAAAATCCTTCGCTGAGGTGGTCTGTGTAAGTGCAGATGTCATTGCTAAATTAATGCGGAATATTATTGTTATTTCACTATATATTGGTGTGTGTGAAAAATGAAGACATCTTGGGGTTCATGAGCTGCGCGGTGCCTTGATACTGTCCACCATGGGGTTGTAGATTAGTGTGTACATATATGACTTGTATATTAGTCCTGACAACCTAAACCCCCCGCCCCCCCCCCCCAAAAAAAAACCCCAAAACCCCAAATTAACTCTAGATTGCCATTACAGCTTTTTAAAACAGTCACTTACTAACATGGTTCAAGTGTACTTAATAAAATTAGCTGCCTGTCTGGTGCTTTATATACTGATCATTTACTGTGATCAGTATAAAATTAATTCATGAATGCCTTCATCACATTTTGACTACATGGTCTTATTTCACATACATAACAAGCAGCAGCTCTGCTTCTAATTACTTGAAATGCTAATCTCTGATAAATGTTTATGCTGCTTCGGAACCATTTTGTATATACAGTCAATTTTTCCTTATTGAGAGCTACCGGAGTCTCTTACAACCGAAAAATGGATGTAATATGACAAGTGTTTTGTGCAGAGACATATACCCCTGTTAGTACAGATAGCTGTAGCAGGGTGTGAAGCAAGCTGGGATCTGGAAGCAATATAGTTACAGCTCTGTGGTGAAGGACTTTGGTCGGTCACATAGTACCCAAGTTGCCCTGCATGAAGTTTGCTGTCGGATGTGCACCCATAGCAGGCTTGATTCGTAACCTTGGACGGTCAGGCCAGGCTCAAGGGAGAAGGAACTCAGCCAGGAGATAAAATATCCTGGCTCCAGTTCATGCCAACTAGAGAGCTTTAGAGCACTGTAGCGTATCTTCTTCCTCTGTTTTTATGTCAACCGTGTTCTTTTTATGCAGGGTTATTGCTTTTTGGGTGAGCACTTTAGAATGAGCACATTACCTAGTATATATCTCTATTCTCCTTTTGAGCTGTTGTTCTTGAGATGAGTGTGTACTCCCACCACTGCTGGACAGAACAGACACTCAGTCTCCATTGTCTCTTGTCATGCAGGATTCAAAAAACCAGGAAACAACTGTAACTCCTTCCAATTTCAACTTTGAATGTTCAAGTGTGGCACAAGTTTGGTGTATGTCTTGAGTGCTTTTGGGGCTTTTTATTGTTTTAATTTCCCCCGCACACCGTGTTCTTTATCTCTGTTGTATTTTGGTATTTTTTTCTCTTAGTTAAGTGACTTTTTGATTTGAAATAAACAGTTGTATGCCTTTATAGCAGTTGTTTGATGTCCAGCTATAGGCTACTTTCTTGTTCTTACCTTGGTTCTGTCACTGCTGCTTTCTCTCTCTTGGTTTACAGACGTTATAGGCAGCCTTGCTGAGCTGTAAGAAGGCAGTTGTCAGGTTTAGTACAGGTTATGATGTCTGTAAAAACACTGGTTTTAGGGTTTGTGCTGCCTACAAGAAAGTTCCTGAGAATTTTGCAGAAACTATATACTTCAGCTTTCTTTTAACAAGGCTGTTCTTTGGATCTAGGAGTTACTGTTTTAAAAGCTCTTCAAACGCAAAATTACCTTGAGAAAGGAGATTGTACTGTCTGCTCTGTGCCACAACACAGAACATGTTGTCATGTCACTGACCTTGAATTCTCTCCCAGGTTTTTCACTCTTAACTTCTGCTTTTTTTTCTTTTCATCTGTTTGTTCTTTTGATCTGATGTCATTTTTTTTCAGCTGAGACAGCATACGTGATGATTCCAGTGTGAGGGAAATCCAGATCATTGGTTCAGGCCAATATCCTCTGAGCACAATCAAATATTATGAAAAGATCTGTGTACTCCTCTTGCCTTTTATTTTTCATGTCATCATCCGTTTGTAGTGCTTACCCCGTACCTATTTTGAGGCATTTCCTGCTTGAGCTCATGTGCTTAGCACACTGATATGGTGGTTTCCATGTATCACTTCAAACTTTCTTCTTTGGGAATATATTCCATGCATGCTTTTGGGGGGTGAAGCGTGTCTCAGTGCTCTCCAGGAAACCCAGAAATTGCAAACTTAACAATGTAGCTTTAGTGTTCTGTGCTTGGCTGTTGTGGAAGGCAGGCTTTCTGAGGATGCGGAATTTTGCAACAGGGAAGACTGGCTTGGTGAACACTTCATAGCTTAGAGTGATTGTGGTGGTTATTTTCACAATACTTTTATTCATGAGTCTGCAGGAAATTCAGTAGCCAATTTACTTCTGTTAGTTGAAGATGAAAAAGGTTATCAGGTGATTTGATAATGAGCTGGAAGTACTGGTGTTGGTGAAGGATTACTGCCAGCAGATAGCTCTGTAATCTAAGCGGGCAGGCACAATAAATTCTGATTGGAAGCTGAAGCTTAATAAATTCAGAATAAAAGTAAGGCAGATTTTATTAACAAAGAAATTAGCTATGACAATAACATACCTAGAACTTTGATAGATTCCCAAAGTGTGAAGTACCTGGATGGCTTTGGTGTTTGTTTTCACAGATGAGATTAGATGATGCAGGTGGTTTCTTATGGCCTTAAAAATCAGTACTGAATCATGTACGTGGCCTCTCTGAAATCAGCAGCAGTTCTACGCTATAAAGGAGGTTTTTCTAAAATTTGTCTCCATTTCAGTTATGAGCTGCCAACTGCCCTGTAAACGTAATCACCAAGATTTTAAATTAAGTTTTATATACTCTTTTTCTCTTTCCTTTTGCAATTTCACATTATAGCTTGGTCTACAGTTGTTGATTCCCTGCTCTACAAAGATGAGCTTCACCATGCTCTTGGTAGGTGATATCAGTGCCATCACTGACCAGGGTAGGAATGAGTACTCAGCCTGTGGGTAGAAGGTAAGTCAGCTTTTATTCACTATGGCACAGCTCTCTAAGGTTCTCTTTTTATTATTCTTTGGAGAACTGGTCAATAATAAAGTGTGGTTATACCAGTCTTAGTTCCTAACATGTTTAAAATTTGGTTAGGTCCTTGAAGTAGAGGACTTGGATTTTTGTTTTTAAATGTTATAATGAGTTTTTCTGTGTTTACGCCAGTGCCTGTGTTTGTCCTGCCTTCCAAAAGGCAGAATTCATGAGTAACCAGCCCCTGCTGCCTGTAGCTGCTGCTACTTGTAGCTGGAGCCAGTAGCCAAACATAGTTTCTCTCCAGTAGCCCAGCTGCAGCTGTGGTCAAGAAAAGCAAAGCAGCATGTGAGAGGGATTATTGAGTACTGAATACAGGGTAAAAAGCCAGCTCTTGTCAGAAATCCCCAAGCAGTACTAGCTTCTGCCAGCCAGAAAGGAAGCTGTTCAGTGGTCTTTAGTCCCTAGCTCACTTAGCTAAAAGCTCTTATGGTGTCCAGCTGCCCAGCAAATTTTGCCAACATTTTAACTGAGAGGCAGTACCTTCGTCTCCACTCCTGCTTCTGCAGAGTGAGCAAAATGGGGAGGTTGTGGTTCCTGGCCACTGTGCTTTCCATTGCACATGCAGCTCAGCCTGCCGTCACCGTGGCACTGCTCATCTGTCATCACATCCATCCCCTGGCTCCTACACCTATCCGAGAAAAGTAATGTAAAATTTGGATTATTTTCTTTTAACTTAAGTTGCCTGATGTCTCACACTCAAGGACCTATCTAAGTTTTAAAAGTGTGACTAGGGAATATAAAAGTATAAGCACCCTTTATATAAAAGCCAACTTACATTTTCCACAACAGTTGAGTTCTCCAGTCCAAATCATCAATACTGGTTTCCCTGTCTATATGCACTCTTGGACATGTTTGTGGGAGTCCACAATCTCCAGCTATGTGCTTTTTGTGAACTAACTTGCAAAAGGAAAAAGATAAATTTCTTACTAGTGTGAATATCTGCCAGGTCAGAGATTTATATTGATAAAAGATTTTACTCAAGATCTGATAATGATCTAAACCTGAATCTTGCATTTGATGGAGGAAAATGGTCCTTTATAGCTACATTACTTTGCATAGAAAATGAAAATCTTAAGCCTTTTAATTAAACGAGAGTTATTTGTAGTTCTGTGGGGTAGCTGATGTTAGCTGATGTAACCCAGTTGGATCATATCAGAAGTCAGAACAGTTGTACCTTTCATGCACGGATCCATGAGCACATTAGGATAAGTGTAATACTCCTGCTTTGAAAGAGGAAAACAAGTGCGGGGAACTTGTTCAGGACATCCGAGATTCAAGAATTAAATTTTAATCTCTAGGCTGTCTTTTGGTCCGCAGCCCCAGTACGTGTGATGTTTCACAGGGGCTCTTTAGCCTTTAGCTATCTCATATTTCACATTCTGTGCTTTAAACAAAAACATCAAAACTGAATCCCTGTTTTGGTGGTTTTTTTTTCACTACTATGAACATTGCGAATCAAGAACACACAGACATAGATTACTTTTTATACTAGGTAGGCCTTTGGTTTTGTAACTGTAACGTGTCTAGGAGCTGGTGGTGTAAGTGGGGCTGCCTTGTACAGCCGTATCAAAATTCATGCTTCCCAGTTAACTTGTAGTGCTTGATCTCAGCAAAACTACTAAATTCTGTTCTCTTCCTTCAAAGAGAGGGCAGCCATGTTCAGTTACATAACAGACTTTTTTTTTTTTAATTAAGCATACAATACCCATAAATGGGTCATTCTTCTGGGCTTTGATCTGCCAGCATAGTTTGGGCTGGGAGTTCTTTCAGCTTAAAACTTGCTGGCAATGGTATAGTTAAATGTGACACCGTGATCTGAATGCTGCAGCAAATGCTCATGTTTATCTGATCTTTGGGGTGTGCTGAAAAGGGAGTGATGGTAACTTACTTTATGGCCTCAAATATATTAAACGTAGAGCTACTAAATGACTTGGCCGTAGTTACCCAGGAAGTCTGGGGCAGAATTTTGAGTTGTGTGGAATGTAAAATTCCTGAATTTCTGCTTTCCAGTATTCTGTCAGTATGACAGCTGCCTTTTTTGTGTGTTTTGTTTTGTTTCTGTTGCACTCATATTTCAGTACAGACTGTTTTGATGGACTTAGGTAAGCAAGAAATCCAAGTGACTGTATGAGAGGGACGTGTTGTATTTGCTGCGTACAGCTCTGGCAATGTTTATGTGCTGTTTAATCGCTGAGATTATGTTGAAACTCTTGAACAGGGCTGTGGTTGTTCTGACTCTAGCAGATCTCCTTGCTGTACCTCATTCAGTGATTTCTTCAGTGATAATGTTTTTATTTCATTTAGCCTCTTCTTGTGTATGCTCCATGGGTAAGTGCTAAGGAGTAGGGTTTCTTTCAGAAAGCTGCTTGACATAAATCAGTTTTCATTAAAAGGCTAGACTGTCTATTAATTACACTGAGTTATTTTTTCGATTCATCACCCTGTGAAATAACGACATCAGATTTGGTAGCCCAAACCTATTAAAAACCAAACCAGGACACCCTGCCCCAGCAGCCTATTTGACCGGCGTTGGTTCTGTGTTGCTATCTCTTAAAGTCTGTCAGTTGAACTACAGATGAACATCGATTGGGACTCGTGTCAGACTAATTGGCCTTAAGTGGTCCTGGTTGCTGCCTTTCAACATTGACATGTTGTGGTGATTTCAGTCTTCACAGTTTCCCTGTTGTCTGGTATCCAGTTGTTTTGGTCTCCTTAGCTATTCCAAGAACCATGTTTTCTAGGCCTTCTGATGTACGTGTTCATCTCTAGTTGAACATGATACAGCCTCACTGAGCAGTGAACCAAAAAATACTTCATCCTCATGTAAATACGCTGTTCTGCATCTCTCCAGGGAACGGAACTGCCCACCTTCTCAGCATCATCGCTGACTGTTCAGTCATGTCCATCTAATCGAGGTCTTGTAACATTGCCACTGGTTGTCTCTGCTCAGTGCAGCATAGAAGGACGTCAGCCCCCGTGGTCCTTAAAGAACTGCTTTAACTGGCCAGTGGTTCACAGACATTTAGTGCAGGATCTTGGATTGAGGTAGTGGGAAGACAGCAGTTTTATTTTTGTTCTTCTTGGAGGAGGCTAGGAAAAGCATCAGGAAGACTTTGTCCTTTGTGGGTTTGGCAGTATGCCAGTTTGTCTTGATGGTAATATGGGATTCCTTCTTTTATTTTAAAAGCTCTTACCAGTGACTATACTTCAGAGGAGTTTTTCATTCCTTTTCCCATTGCCTGTTGTAACGTTCATCATCCTTTTATTTTGAGATGTTCTTTGAGGAACTGAGCCTCTGCGCAAGAATTGCCTGAGCATTATACCTTTCCCCCTTCATTCAAGTGAATTTCCTGTAGTTCCGCTTCTTTGAATCTATTGCGTGGATTTGTTTTCCAGCATTTCTGTATAGAGTACAAAGGTCTGCTTTTGTTGTTGCCTGTGAGGTAGTCTGCACATATTTGGGACTTACTTTTTAAAAAAACACAAACAAAAGCCCACGTTTGGTTTGTTGTTTTTTTTTTGTACCGGGGTATTATAATTGGCCTAGTTTGAGGAGATCTTGCTTTCCTGTACAGCTCAAAACTGACTGGAAGGTTGTGGGGCTACAGAATAGTGGCAGATGGTGACATACAGCTAATAAGCAAGGGCTTGTGCTCAGCTGTCAATCAGAAGGCCCCAAAGCTTTTGAACAGAGGATTTCCATCCTGCCTCCTGCCAGGAGTTCAAGCCCTCAAAGTGAAAATCCTGTGAGAGACCATCTTCAAAGTAGCAGAATTAGAGGTAATTTCTCCAAAGCACCGTATTAAAAAAAAAAAAAAAAAAAAAACAAAACACAACAACAAAAAAACCCACGCTACCTAGAAGGGCATACCTTTTTCAAATAGCTAACTCCGAAGAGAATTACACTTGTGAAATTCGACATTAACTACTGCTCACTGAGAAACACATCCAGAATCTTAATTTGAGGTGAGGGGGGAGGGGAGAAGAGCGATTGGGAAAATTAACTGCTGGCAACACTGCGGCGGTGTCTGCTGTGTTCATGGTGACTAATGAATCTTTGCCCTCTCAGTGGCAGCAAAAATGCACCACTGCCTGGCCTCGTGAGCCCAGCAATTACTGCTGGAAGAGTCGGTGGGAAATGGAAGTGAAGTACAATTCTTTGCTGCTCTGAGTAATGAAAAGCAGAAATAAACTATGCTAATGAACTGGAAAGGATTTGCTTGTGCTAAGTATTTTTTACATCTTGCTATTAAGACAGTTTACCTGTAAGTCCTTCAGTTTTGCACAGATTTTTCCCATTCTTTTGGAAGAGAAAAATTCCTTTTAAAAATATGGTTAGTACTCCCTCTAAAACACCTGGGCTGCTCTGTTCACACACCTTGGAGAAACCCAGCCCAGGTGACTTGAGAAAATTGAGGTAAGAGCTGTTGTCTAAGCAATGTCTTGCTTTATGCTTTGCTTGTGTAATTAGTGTGCTAAGGAGTGCACAAATGATTGCATAGTCCTGAACCTGAGTAGCTGACTGGAGATGCAAAGGATCGCTACTTCGCCACCAATGATTCTGCCAGCTCTTCCATTCTCCTAGGAGAGGAAAATAAATTTATCATCTGGGGTTTTTTTTCAGAGCCCAGCAAGGGCTAAGGGCAGGTACATACCCACAAGACAGTTTGGAGAAGGGTAGCAGAATTGATGCTCTTTTCGTGTGACTTACATATCCTTCAGCCTTTCTGTTTCAGCTTGTTGAGAGTGGAGAACAAAGAAGTTAAATGTATTCAAACCATTTGCATGTTCTTCATAGTTAAAGCTCCACAAAGAGATCAGTTTGACCAAGGGCCTTAGTATATTTAAAATAGACTCTGCCAGGATATCAGATGTTGTATTTCTATCCACAGTGACGCTGCTGACAGAAACATACATGGATGCTGAGGACACTGCTGATTGGTAGAAAAAGAGATTTCTCTTTGCATATGGTTCTTACAAAGCCTAAGGAAAAGGCTGTTTTCAGTAGAGTACCTTTCTGATGGGCATGGCAGAAGATTTGAGATTCTAGTTCTATTTTGCATTTGCTCTTTGTAAAACACCTTGGTTTATATTTGAAAACTCTGAAGGTCAGAGACTCTGGAGAGCTGTGTTTGTGCAGTGGCTTTGTGGAGAGACGTGGTCCAGTTTGGGGTGATTGCTCGTCATGGCAGCATCAGTTCACCTGAATCACTAAACTCATTAGTGACTGAATCTTCTGTGCAGGCTGAGTGAAGTGGAGAAAGCGTATACACTGTGCAATGTTATTTGTAAAGGACTGAAAAGTAATTAGAAAAGTATTTTTTTAAATGTTAATGCAATAATTTTAAGAACAGTGTATTTCAGCAGATGCTGCTGCCTGTGATTAATCTCTCACCCATTAATCATTGTGTGCCTCAGAGATTAACCCTCACAGCTACAGTGATATCAGTGAAAACAGAAGCAAAAATGCACGACTTTGTTTTTGGTTTGTCTGTTCATAGTACTTGTATGCAGTCACGAAGGAAGCAGCCGGAGATGTGGTGGACAGGGGGACCTCCTTTCTGGTTCTCTTGGAGTCTTAGCACACTGGGCATTTCTTGCTGGAGCAGAAAAAACAAATGGGTATGAATATTAATTAATAACTTCTTAATTCTCGTGAATCTATGTTCTCCTGTGACTGTTGTTGTAGACCTGCTACAGAAATTTCCAAATGAAATTGGAGCCATTGGGACTAAGGTATCTATGTACTTTTAAAAAAATGTAAGGATGTTCTACAGCAGCCTATGTAATAGTTGCAATTTTAATAAGACAAACTCTTCAGTAATCTTAACATCTCCCAGGTTTGAGTCAAAAGAAGAGTGTGAACCTGAGTTGATTCCCAAGGACGTGTATGTATGAGATATGTGTTTTCAAAACAATTGAATGTAGGCAGAAAGTATGAAGAATAAATAAGTAGAAGTCACATGTCATTTAGCTTTGTTTCTGTAATTTGGTGAATAGTCTTGCATTGTACCCAAATAATTCAGTGCGGCAGGTGAGTTGAAGCTTGCAAATAAAATACAATTTCAAAGAGGGTAACCATTTTAAAGCCAAATGGCAAGTCCAGTTTGACTGTACATAAAGCAGCCACGCAGCCGCAGCTGGCTCTCGGCTCTCTTGTTAAATTATGTCAATTCTTGTCCGACTAGTTGCTCCATGTAGTATTTCTGTGGAAGTAGCTGCTTTAAATAAAGTCGAAAGGAACCCTGACCCAAGCAGCTAGGGAATAACAGTCCCTTTTCCCAATAAGTAATGAGCTATTGAAGCTTGAGGAGTGGAGATCTTCAGTAGTCTTTCAGGTACTCTATGATGCACACAGTTAGACGTCCATGGGATTTAACTCGTCTGTGCTTCTGTTAGTGTGAGAGCACTGCACTAGGTCCTCCAGAAGGACTGAGGGGCCAGTTGAACTAGAATTCTGAAATCTAACATACCCAGAATGAAAAATGAAACCAAGATTGTTTGTGTATCTGAAGTTGCAGCTGCCACTAAAGGAGGAATTTTGGTTTACTTCATTAAAAAGGTGACTTCATTTTTGCGTGATGTAGAACAGATCAGCGGTGGCTTCATTTTTGCATGATGTAGAACAGATGAGTATTAAATTGTTGGAGAGATTAGCAAAAGCAGCACATGTTCTCGAGGCTCTCCTGACTTGGGCTCCTGTGGCTTTTCCAAACAGCTCGCTCAGAAACTCCATTATGTTATAGATGAAGCAAAAGGGAGAGAGTGTAATTGGCATCAGCAATACATTGTGTCTCCCGTGCTGGTGTTAAGGTGACCCTTCTCTAATACCTGCTGTACCAATCCTGTTTATCTCGTGTGTTTCAGGAAAGGAGGAGCTCTTTGGGTTCAGTGAATCCGGGCATCAGCTCGTAGACTGCACTGCAGGCAGTCCAGCCAGTCCTTCCACGCTTGTGCCTGGCTCTGTTGTTTCAGAACGGGTCTGTGCAGGGCAGGATTTTGAAACATTAAGGTTGTGCTGACTTTCAGGGGTGCTAATGGTACAGTAGGTAGGACTCTCCTGTTAAGCAGACAGGATGCTAAGGTGATGTCTTTGGAGTATGGCATCCAACTGGTTATGCAGTAACCTTAGAAATAGGTGCTTTAGCTGTCTTGAGCCCAGGAGCCTGTGCACAGCTCTTGTTTCAAAGCAGTATTTGGGCATCTAGGATTGACTCTCAGGATAGCTTAAATACTCACTCCTGCACCTTGATGAGTGTATGAAGTTGCTGTTTTCAAGGAAAAGATACTCAAAGCTGCCCTGGTGACACCTAATTGTAAACTCAAGTTCTGCTTTGCCTGTGTTCCTGTGGTGATCCTATCGAGATCTTCACAAAACTGTTATTTGGTACAGGAGACAGTAGGTCCTTAGTGACTTACAGGCAGCTCTGTCCCAGCCGTGGCTGAGCATTGTGAGGTTTTTAACCAGCCAGCAACTGGAGGCCAGGGCTGGCTGCTGAGTTATTCTGCAGGTGTTTCCCTCTGCTCTGGTGCTGTAAGGCAGCAGACGTGGCTCCTGGGGCCCAGCTTGGGAGAAGCTGCTCTGGAGGTGACAGGGCTGTGCTGCCTTCTCCAGGGGAGGTTCAGGGGCTGGATACACTCTCCTAGGCTGTTCATAAGCATGTAGGAGGCATTAGGAGAGTGTCTTAATTTCTGTTGTGGTCTATAGCTGTCACTGTGCTGCTCTTAAGCTGATACAATGAAGGCCCCAGAGTAGTTACTGCGGCTCTGCTAAAAATCATCTCTTGTCTGCATCCCCATGTCCTTCCTTCCCCCCCCATGATACAAAACTAAACTGAGTTACCCACTGAGTGGGGAGGAAAGGGAGTAAAAAGGCTGCCAGGTGAAACTGTAGTCTTCCTCTGAAGGAAAGGATGAAGTTTCACATCAGTAAAACTAGGCACAGAACACCTTCTTACCCATTTTTTAAGCAAGTATCCTTTTGAATCCCTCAGCCCTGGTGGTGTTTCTCACCAAGTCACACGCTGTGCCATGGGAAGGGAAGTATTTGTTAAAAAAAATTCAGCTAAAGGTGCTCTGCAATGCAAAACTCTGAGGAACAGAGATGTTTCTGTAAGAGGCCTTCCCAACAATGCTGACAAACATCTGTGGGTACCACCTTATGAATTACACAGGAGTGTTCAGATTTTGTTTATAATGTTGTTTCTTTTTTTCTTTCTCCTTTTAGTCAAAATCCCTTTCTAGTGGCTGCATTTGGAGCTTGCTCTCTTACGAGGCAGTGTAACCACCAAGCCTTTCAAAAATTCGGACGTTCAATGACTGCCTCTGACATGGTTTCAGAAGTTGGAACAGCTTTTAACAAACTTTTTGAAACCTGAAGCCAAAGCAGCAGAGAAGAAGAAAATGAAGAACAATGACTGCAAGAATAATTACATTTACTGTAGAATTTACATAAGTAATGCACCCTTTCAAGTGCTGTAGCAGCATTGGTATGCTAGGTAGATTTTTTTTTTTTATTTTTAAGAATAGAAAAATATGATTACTGTAGATATTTTTTAAGAGTTTGGAATACGAAAATGTTTTGGCTGAAATAAGCTGTAGTTGCAGATCTGTTATAATATAATAAAACTAAACTGAAAGTATTCCTCTGTTCTTTTTGATAGTTATTGAGCAATAACTAAAGTGTGAACAGCAAAAAAAAAAATAAAATGCACTTGATACTTAGATAAAATTCTTCCACCAGCTCAACAGAATTTCTTGGATTGCACCAAGGTTGTCATGTTTTCTTTCTTAGACTCTCTGTCTAGAATTAGCTATTGCACTTCGTTTTTTGCCATGCTAGTATAATAAGAAGCAAAAAGTAAGCCTCTTTGGAAAGGGAATGCATGAGAGTTGCTGTAGATTTTGAATGTAATTAGTTGCCTTTTCCCATTCCCGGTCCCAGAGGCAGCGTTTACTACAACAATACACCCCTTCCTGCAACATCTTGGGTTTTTTAGAAGAGATTTCCCCCATCACAGAGTAAGGATATACAGTAGGTATCTTAACATTGAACAGTAATTAAGCTTACCTGGAAAAAAAAAAATTTCTATTCCTTTCGCTGGTCTCGACTCATCTAGAACTTGCTCTGATGAACTTAGCGAAATTATCATTTGCAGAGATACTAGGCAGGGTAAGGAACTTAGTGCTACCGAACTGAACTGGTCAAACTCTCTGATACTGGAAGAGTGAGGTGCTTTTAAAACTCACATTGCTCAAAGTCAGAGCTCTAAGATCAGTGTACAGATATAGAGGTGGCTGTTTAGTAACCAGCAGGAACATGAATCAAAGGAACAAAAAGCAGACAGCAGCACCTATCTGTAGGCTCTTTGTGCTGTGCAGGCAGCCGTACGCTGCAAGTCAAAGGCAGGAACAGAAAAATGGTGGTTGATGTTTGCACTGTGAGTGCAGCACCGGGGTTTAGGGGCTTTTTGTTCTGTCCTTATCCAGACAGACAGGACTTGTACTGTTAGGGCCATACCTATCTATCTGGGTTGTTGGCAGAGCAGACGAGTGTTGGATATCAAGGGGAAGTTGTGTGTGATTTTGCACAGTATCACTTCCTAAATTTTTGAAATTCAGTCAAAAAATTTAGTCGAAGCTTGTAGGGATTGAACCAATATCAAGAGAAGGGCAAGTTCATGCAAAGTACATTCACAAAACTTCCCATAAAGGCTGGAAGTGGGTACTGCCCTTAAACTTACAATCTAGCTCCAAGTGTATATACTCATTAAAGTGCAGGAATAAGCATATAACGTGTCTAGTTATTGCAACAGATGTTATATATTCATTGCAGCCACTCTTTTCCAGTGATCTAGCTCTAGATTGGAGTATGGTGTTGTGCATACTCGTCAGATTGCATTCTTGTACCTTGCAATAGCTGCCCACAAAAAACAGCTGGAATCAGAAAGGCTGCTCAGAGTTGTTCCTTTCTGCCCTTATAATAGTCAATATTTCTGGATGCACTGTGACTACTACCTCACCCCGATGCATTTTTGTTTTTTCTTTTTAAGCCAGTTACCTATTTTTAAAATAGGTTTTTAAATGTTTGCTCATTTTGATCTATGAGGGTTCACAGACTTTTTAGATTAGAGCAACATCTACTCGTAACAGATGGGTTTTGGTGTTCAATTTAAGCAGTTGTGTAAACTGTCCACATGTTTGGGGAACCTAAGCTACTGTTGTTTTTCCCCCTAAAACTACTGGAGATGCCTGACTCCTTTGAAACAAAATCAGAAAGTTAAAACTGATTTTAAAACAGCTACTGGTTTTCCTTTAAAATGAGCTTTTTTTTTTTTAATTATTATTTAGAACATCAGTGGTATTATAATCTAAATGGCATTTGTAGGCGAAGTCAATCAATTAACAGAGCTCAGTACAGATTTCAACCTGCCGTGTTGGTTTTAAATCTACACAGACGTTGTAACTCTGTTATTCACTAATGTATACAAATTGTTACAATTTTTAAACATTCTGGAAATGTAGCAGTTTCTTTTGGTAGGAAATAAAGATAATAGCAAATTAATTGTGTGTACATTGTTTGGTGTGTTCCAAAGCTGAGCTGACTGTTCACTAGAGCCATACAGCCACTAGCAAATTTAAAATACCAACAAATAAGCATCTGCCCAAATGCTAATGAAGACCCTGCCCATGTTCTCTAGGAGTACCCATAACCAGAAAAGGGACCAGAAATACGGCTGCACGTTTTATTCTGTATTTAACAATATAAAAATATGCCTTTATCCTTTTGAACAGATTACTTGCATGAACTGTATTTTCAAATTAAATTCCTCGTATATTGAACCCATGATCTTATTTCTTATCTTTTGATAAAATGATATACAGAAAGTATGCCAGTAGGTAAGTACAAGCCCCATGTAAACTTGGCCTCTAGAGCACAGGTCATATCATGTTTAAGGCGAGCCTTGCTCCATCTACCTACAGCCACGCCATCCAGGGGATATTTTTTATTTTTTTTTAAACACAAACATGGCAAAAGAAGAAAGGTATGCTCATCTGACCTGTTGTGGTGTTACGGTGTGCTTGCCTACGCAGGTATTATCCTACAATATACAACAGCTATTTTTAATTTTTTTTTTTAATACTGACAATACAGATCCTGAAATTTATGCAGGTTACTTACCTGTTCAGTTACTGATCCTCTGCAAAGTAATAACTAAACAAACTAATTTTATCTTCCCAGTTTTGATGGAGAGATCTGGAGCGTGCTGTACTCCTAGTCCTAGGGAAACCTCCATGTATGCTGTGCAAAAGCAAACTGGAAAGATACCAGGCCTTACAGGTAACGAATTGGATACTGTCATATTACAGTTAAAGATTTCTCAAGACCAAACCAGCAACACTAATAAGGAAATACTTCAGGGCTAGAAGCATCACATCCTTCTGTGCCTGAGGAAAACCAGAATTGTTCAAAGCAGTGGGTGTAAAACTAAGTGTTTTCACCCTGAGAGACAGGCCTCAGTCTTCACTACGCTTTAATTCTCAGTGCCAGCTCAGCGGAACGGCACGAGTGCAGCTGATGCAGCAGCTGGGGCTGGGGCATTTCCTGCATTGGAATATACCAAGGCCTGCGTCAGACAACACGGCTGCTTCTGTGCTGCCTTGTATTTTGGATGTTCCCACCACCTGTGCCATGTGCACACCTGCTGCGAGTCCTGTATTTATTTACCCAGTAGTAGTATCAACAGTTGTGCTCAGATTGTTTTGTATCTTCCTTAGCCATTCTGTTCCAAAGATTTTATTTGGGAAGTATTAGTATTTACAACTGTTGCCAAAGCAGATGAAATAAAAACAAGTCCAAGGATGAAGGATCAGCTTTTTTTCTCGGTCTGCGGCTCTGCTTGCCCTCCTTCCACAGCTTCCCAGGTTGAAACAGCAGCTCTGTCCTGTAAGAAAAGGCAAGTGGGTCAATCCCAGCAGTCTGGATCACACAGGTGTAGTACACGTGTAGGTGTTTGGAGGCACAGGTTTTTAACCAAGCTTCATATGGCAAAGCTCTTAATGAAGTCAGGTGAAAGAGGTGGGGATGCTATCTCACAGGAACACCATGTTACTAACGCTCAGAAGTTGAAAAGCAAACCCAGACAATTCCTTCCAGTTAAGGGGGGAAAAAAAAACACAACAGGAATGTCACCTCTTCAGTGTGGGATGCTGCAGCAGTGTGTAGAGTCACTCTCATGTGAGTAACTTCTGTTAGGCAATCACATTTTCATGTTTAAATGGCTCGTGTACATGGACAATAGCCCTTATGGCCAATACACCTAATACATTATGCCTAATGTACCCGATCTCCTTCTGAATTTTAGGATGGTAGCCTGTTGCTGTAAGTATCTGTAATGCAATACTATCATATATTGAATATTACAGTCAAGGAGCATTTCTGACTGTTACAATCTAGCTGTTGACTGCAGTTGTTGAAAATAAAACAAAAGTTCATCTGAACATTGAAACATGACGATGTTACATGAGCTCTGATTCCTGACAGAGGCTGGAATACAATGTAGGATTTTCTTTGCGTGGAAGTGAAAACTAGTTTTGATGCGCAAATGCTCAATTACTACGTTTCACTTGGCAGCACAGAAAGCTTGCATTTCAAGCACACTACAGTGACGTGAAAAGACCGGCGGATATTTCAATCCGTTTCTTGCAAGTTCTGTAACTTCAGACAAACAGAACGTCATCTGCATTGAGCAGTATGAGAGCAGAAACTAGTGTACAATCACAAACTTACAAGCTCAAAGAGAAATGACCCTTCCTACAAAGCTGATTTTTGAGGGAATTAAGTTACTGGCATTCTTTAAGTTGCTACTCGCACCCTAGAGCGGCCAACCCCTCCCTGCCCAGCCCTAAAGCAGGGGTTCCTCATGTGCCCTGGGTGGAGATGAGGCTTCTCTGCTTCATCTGTTCTGCTGCTTTTCCTCCTGCACATGGACTTGAGAAGTTGCTGGCTGACTTTGGCCACGTGTGACAGAGGGAGAGCATGTTAACAGATGCAATACTGCAGGTGTCATTGTGGGGCTCATAAAAATGTTTCATGGGAATTGGGCTGGGTAGAAAGAGAAATTCAAATTACTTCCTCAAGCACTTATTAGGCAAGCAGGACCCAGCTGCTACACGCTGTGTCACCATGGCTTTTTTGGCAACAGGCAACCCAGGGTGGCCAAACAACCCAGCCAAGGAGACTTGTGCTGAGCACGAGGGTGGCAAGAGCCCTGCTTTGGGCAGAGCCATGTCTTGTTGCATGGGTGCTCCAGTGAGCCTGTGTGAGGAACAGCAGAGCTGCATCGCTTGGTTTGCAGAGCTCTTCTGGGATTTGCAAAGGCAAGATCTGGGCAACCTTCACAGCACCTTCCACAGGATCAGCAAAAAAAGCAGGAGTTCAGCTTTGGACGTGTACTCTGTGCACTCATAGGTCCATGCGTGCTTCGTCTCCAAGAGCAAACTATTCCGGGGCAAGCAGGAGACAGGTTATGCTGAGCTTCAGGTAATTAAAAAAAAAAAAATTGAAATTAATGGAACGGGCTGAATCCTGGCTAAGGCCAATTTCTAGGACATTATTAAACATCCATAAATCCCTTTAAAAACAAGCCAAAACAAATCTTCAAAAGGATGGGGATGGGAGTGGGGCTGTGACTATGTTGCCAAATAGATCAAAAGGGAGTCGTCTTCTCCAAGACTTTGTCTCAGTACAGTTGTTTGGATTTGCAAACTTTCTTGACAGATAAGCAGAGCAAGGATTTAGCTATGTACAAACAAGTTAAGGAAGCAGATGTTCCAGCTTCCCACAGTTTTCCTTTGCTTTCACAGCTGTAGCTCACCACCACTGCGCTTTGGCCCTCACCCCAGTTCGTATCAGCACGCTTGCTTTCAGCTGAGATCACGAGACAGCTGACCACACTTCGTGTTTGGGTTTAATAGGTGTGATAGCAAATGACAGCTCTCATGTTCAGCAATTGAAGAGGATGTACGCTGTCACTCCCTAGTGTCACTGTGCTTTATATCCTCCCATTGGGCAAACGATGCAAGGAGACTGTACAAGGCTCAATTCCCAAGCGAGGGGAAAAAATGAGTAGTGTGAACTGGAGGGAGGGAGAAAGACGCTGGAGAGAAAGTGGAGGATTATTCTGCATGTAAAGAGCAACACTGACCCAACACCAAGGCCTGGAGCAGAGGTGAGAAGGGCAGTGGAGCAAGAGGAACTGGAAGCAGCAGCACCTGTTAAAGCAGTAGCATAGCACCTTGAAACCAGGAGGAGAGAGTGAGCCAGTGAAGGGATTTCTCTTGAGCAGCAGACACCATGGGGGTAGTGAAAAAAGAAAGAATAGTGGCATTAGGTACAGGCTAAAAGTAGAAAGCAGGATGGAGAGAGGAGTGGTACAGGAATCAGACAAACTACTTATGGTTCAGGAACAGTTGGGAACGGAGCTGCTGAAGACGGAAGAGGCTTTCTCGTGAGGACTTAACCATTTTTCATGGGGGAATGTGGGGAGGGTAGAGGAAAGGCATTATTTTTATGTCATCTCAGTTTACTTTCCAGTTCCTCTGCAATCATTTTAAACATTGCACGTTACTCACACCTGTTCTTCTGTATTGAACTTGGGCAACTTAGGGATTTCTGTATATTATGGGATTTTCAGTGGCTAAATAACACACCCGTAGTAGCTGCAGAAGTAGGTACAGCTTGCATGGAAACACGAGGTTGAAGGGGAGCAGAAGAGAAGACTAGCAGTACAACCAGGCAAGGGCTTAACTTCTATCTCGTGTTACTGCAGTCATACAGGGAGCAGGGCACAGCACCGAAAGCTGCCGAAGGGGCACGAAAGGCAAAAATAAACAATCTTAAAAAATGAGTAACAGTCTCAAAGACAGTCACTGTCTTCTACCTTTATGTGAATTCCAAAGGCAGCAAGGTCTGCACGCAGACTGTCACAAGCCTCCAGGAGGGGTTTTCTCTCCCGCATTAACTGCTGCCTCTTTTCCTTCTGTTCTTGTTTCGGTCCGTTGGCTCCCGTGGCACCCTCCATTGGCACAGTGTCTGCTGCTTCCGGCAGAGCCAGCGCGTAATGACGGACCTTCGCGCGGAACCTTACAAGCTCTTCAATGACGTTAGAGAGCACAGCAGAGTTGTCTCCTCCCAGAGCCACCTAAAAATCAAACAGGTTGCTTTACAAACATCTGAGAACAATTCAACAATCAACTCCAACTCAGTAGCATACACTGAGGCCTCGTCATCTCTCTTGGTTGTGCATCTTCCATGTGCAGGTATGACTGAAACGTTACAACCTCACCAGTTCTGGACATAAAGTTACAGTGGAGTTGTAACAGGGAAGTAGTTCAGCGTATTCCTATACAGGAAAGTGTCTATCTTGGAGTGGAGGGTTCTCACGTGAGCATAACATGCTGCATAACCCAGCTGTGGAACTCAATGCCACAGGAAACCTCCAAGATGCCAGAAAAGTGTATAAATTAAAAGAGAGATTAGACAAATTAATGAAAGAAAGGCCTGGCAACAGCCATCCCACACAGCAAGGGAAGCCACCAGCTCAGGCAGTCCCTAGGCTGTAAACATCTGCAGAGCTAGAAGACACATCAGCCCCTTACTCTGCCTTGGAGCTCCAGACCCTCTTCAGGGAACGCAAACCAGGAAAAGGAAACGCAAACCAGGAGAAGTATTTTGGCTTTAAGTTTCTAGACTGCCCTTTCTACTTGCATCTACAGAAAACCTCCCCAAATCCACAGAACTTTCATCTGAGCCACCTTATCCAAAGTTTTGGCCACCCAAAGAGACCTGACCGAGCAGCAGCCGCTGCACACAGCGGGTGTTTTCTGGCTGCTGCCAGGCCCCCTCCTTCCTTCATCCAGCTCCAAGCTTCCTCAGCCTCTGGCTTGGCAGAATTCTCACTGCCAACACCATGGGAAAGGCCCTGCTCCTTCCCGCTCCAACAGCTGCCAGGGACAGCAGCTCAGGTGCTAGCAGAAGAGGAAGGCCACTCCTCGGCGCTGGCAGAGAAACCATCCCTGTTTCTCATTAGGGGCGGACTCCTAAGGGGGAGGAAGAGGACAGACCTCCAAGAAACAAGAAGCTGCCATGGCAGTATTTTATTGCTGAGACACAAGAGGGGGAGTGGACAGCGGAGCAGTGAGATGCAAAGCGCACCAAGGCCGGGGGGCGAAGCCGCTGGCAGCAACGCTTGACTGGGAGCAGAACAGCAGCTGCGTAATGAAAGCCAGAGGGGACCGTATTTAGTCACCAAACAGCAGGATGGACGTGAAAGGGAGCACTTGCGGAGGTCACCGACTGAAGCAAACAAAGAGGAGGAGAAGGAGGTGAGGGAGGGAGAAGCTGTTGGAGGGCTGAAGCGTGAGATGCTCAGTGCTCTCCACTGCTAAAAGGCAGCAAATTCAAGACATGTAAACATACTACAGAAGTTTATAAGACTGAAGAAGGTAATAAATGCAAGTGTTAGAAATGCTCCATTGTAACCTGGGGTATGGAAAAGAGCAGGATAAATGCTTAAGTACAGAAGGGAAAGGAGAGACTAGCAAGAGGAGCAAGAAATGTCTACAGACACCACTGCCAAAGTTCAAGCCAGGCATGTACTCATGACACAAAGGCAAGATCCTCTACAAGGAGGGGCAGCTTTAGGACATTATCCAATCCGATTTCCACATAAAACACTGCGTAGCTCCCAGGGCTGATCTCACAATCTCTTCTCCTGCAGAACCAACCAATCCAAAGGGCTTGTGAGAAGTTTTAGATGGAAGTTTGGCCCTTGGCTACCCCTCAGATGATCAATCAGCCGTTTGCCCCAGCTGTACCCACGATACAGCACTTATCAGCAGAGTGAAAGCCCTCACCTTTGCTCCTCAGCTCTAAATGGGCACAATGGTTTCCACCCACCAGCCAGACTCCTCAGCAGTAAGCGGTAAGGCTGCCTAGGAGAGAAACACTTCCCTAGACTTCTGTCTGGTCAGCAATGTCTTCCAGAAATTTCAGATGGATTCGTACTACCTGCCTGTGGCTGTCCGGGCTCCTTCTCTTGCCGATGCAGAGAGACAGGCACTCTTATTTTATACCATCGCCAGACTAAGATGAACTGTCCCTTAGCGGTGCCGCACTCTCCACCGACTACTGCAGAGGCACAGGCAGCTACGTTAGGCTGTAAGGCTAATTAGTGGAGATGAATCCCACCCTAAGAGCAAGACAGACCCACAGACTACACGCAAACATCCCAACGAAGAGGGCCCAAACGCCACTCCCCGTAGGCTCTACGCTGAACCGTCAGCCCAGCCGCAGCCAGGCCAGCTAGCCCACGTGTCGGGAGCAGTAGTGGTCAGGGACTGCTCCAGGTAAGCTGCATGCCCAGAGCCACCTGGCTAAGGGGCAAGAAAGGTGGAAGGCTGAGCTTTTGTGGCTGGTCTCAAGGTCAGAGAACAACCCCTGCACTACTTTATTTACTAGCTTGTGGCAGCCCACAGACCTTTCTGATGAAGATTTTGATTGATTCGTTTACCGGACGAAGAAAACAAAAGAACAGAGGGATAGAGAAGAGTCTGAGGCATTGCTCCTTCCTTCCTGCCTACCTTGCACCAACATCTTCTGCTGACCCCGCTGCCCCAGAGAAACTAGCACAGCATGCAAAAAAGAAGAGCATTCAGACACTTGTTTCAGCAAAAATAAAGATGCAGCAGACGCTTGCATACGGACAGCCCAGAATCTGGAGGAATGACTTTGCCATCCGACTTACAGACAAATAGAAGTGCTTAGTACGCCACTAAAAATTAACATGACAAACCATGGGTTATGAGGAGTAACACGCAGACAAATCACATCCAACTGCTGTTTTTAAAGAAATTTTGTGGAAAAATCCAGAGGCAAAGTAAATAAATGCATTTATTGCTATACTGCCTGACTTGCAAAGGATGAATAAGGTTATTTACGTTTTATTATCCTCTTCTCCTCCTTCCCAGAGGAAATTTTTGCAGAACAGTTTCTCTAAAGAAAGTTTTCAACTTCTTGGTATTCAGCTCTAGATTTGAGCAGGAGAAGGGCACAGAACAGCCCACTAGTCTCCAACGCCTTGTGTCATTTTAAACACTCCCTTTCCATACATTAGGATATCACCTCCATATTTATAATTCTCCTTCCTGTGCAGTACTTTGCTTTGAGCTTTTCTCTCCTTTTTTTCCCCTCCCCTCCCCGCCCCATTCCTATCTTTCCAAGGATAGAGGGTATGTGAGGTATTTCCAATGATGGAACCCCCCCCGTTGCCCTCCCCTCCCTGCACCCTACCGAGTCTCAAGGCAGAGCAGCCCCTTTCCCCGCACCCCAGCTTTCTGCAGAGGGACCCCAGCTCCCGCTGCACAGAGAGATCACAACCACAAATACTCATACAGCTATCCACGTCAGCCTGGGTGCAACCGCCAGAAAGAAGAGGAAGAGCCAGGGAAAAGCCAGACACATAACAGGACCAAATCAAAAGGCCTCCAGTGCTAACTTTTTCTCATTTCATTCCTCAAACTTTCATTTCCACAGCACAATTGCTGCAGAAGTCACCCGGGAATATCTCTGAGAAGAAAAAAAGCCCACACTTTGCTTTCTCCTGTTCTACCTGCTCACACGCTCTCCTAAGACACCACGGCAGAAACTGCAAGCAGTGCAGAAAGGTTTACTAAAACCATAAATAACTGTGTTACATCTGACACTTCTGGAAAGCATTCTATAAAACATAACACTGGCACTGTTACCATATACTAGTACACATAGAAGAGATGTTTCGTACCTGTCTTTCTCCAAAGGACATCCCAAGGGCATTAAAAAAGCCTTCTATATAGGAGATAATGCTTCCATACACAACAGAGCTTCTAGGAGATCCAGCATCCTGTTTAAAAAACACTCAAAAGAGATTGTCCAGTCAATACATATTACAGAACTCAGCATCTCTCTGCAGCCTAGTCCACAAGGGAAAACTATTACTAATTATATAGATCTGCCTCCACCAGTAACACCTGCCCAGACAGGAACTTTTACAGAGATATAAAAGCACTTCACAACACAAAGGGAAAAGATTTACGTAAACGGGGGAGGGGAAGAGCTTATTACCAGGATGCGCAGCGAGGAGAAGAGACATGTGAAGCTGCCATTCGTTACATGTGCGCAGTAAATTAAACCCAAAAATAGCATTTCTGGGCATGGAAGGGCTGTGTTTATGAAAACAAAAGAACAAAATCCCAGCTTCATGGGCACCTATAAAATAAATGATTAAAAAAACCCAAACCCTTTTTTTGAGTGTCTTATTGATTTAAACAACGTGAAGACTGCTTTGAGATAGCTCATGGTGTTTTGTCATGCCCCAGTAGCACCAACAGCCACCAGTGGCAGTGACAGAATAGCATTTTTAAGTACACATGTATTTCTTTCTTTTCTCTATGTTTATTTCACAAAACAAACTAAATTAAAATCAAGATTAAATGATGGACTGAGAAGCAATTTAAGGTACTAACCCTTGCCTAAAAAAATTAAAAAAAGTGATGACATACACAACCAAATTAGCAGCTGATACTGGATTTTATCTGACATCTCCATTAGGGCCTGAGATAAGCCATAACCTAAAATTTGCAAAAGATCAGAACTGGAAGGAGCTGAAGCGGACCGCTGAGGGAAAGAAACAGGAACGTGCCAAGTAAGGCAAGAGTGTTGAGAAGGTTAAAGACAGGAATGAATAGTAATGCTTACGTGAATTAACTCGCAGTTCTCAAGGAGAAAAGCTACACGCACAGTCAGTCAGAGGTAACGCTCAGAGAGCTGGACTGCACCCAGAAAAGCCACCTCCACCACCGCAACCAGAAATCTGAAGTCAGCTGCCGCACAAATACCCCACCCAATTCTCAACAAAACAGTTGACAGAAGGAATTCAGGGGAAACAAGCAACAACTGGGAAAACGAGGCCACTTGTACTGAGGAGCAGTAATGCTGTTGGAGATCCCTGCTGCAAACTAGTTTGGGTCAAGGATTCACTCAGAGAATCATGTGTAAAGATAAGGCTAAGGGCAGAATTTAAAGCCAGCATCAAAACAGGACCAGGAGGCAGCAGGATTTCTAAACCAACGGGCTAATTCTCTCCTAAAATCAGTTATTACTATACACTCAGCATTTCTTTTACAGCACAAACATGGTGGACGTGAGGACACTGGCAATGAAGGAGCACAGCAACAAGGCTGAGCTGCTCGCCTTGAGCGTGAAAGGGAGCTGTTGGTAAAAGGAGACCCAGAAGTCCTTCAGCCTGTGTCTACTGCTCAGGTCTTGTCCTTACCAGACGCCTCCTTTGTGTTAGCATCGGGAGATCTTAGCAGGGTCTCAATTTGCCAAAAGCCATCTGAAGACAGGCTTGTTCAGGCATGCTGAGGCCACAGCTATAGCTTGCCAACAGCAGAAGCCACTTGGTCCCCAAAGCTGAACTCACCACCACGACCCTGTGCACCTGGGACTGCCTGCCAAACCCCTGCAGCAGCCACCACCCCCCACTTCCCAACTGAGGTGGATTTCTGTGCATGGGTATTAAGCAAAGAAGCAGGGTAAGGACATAAAAGCAGCACTAAAATCAGCAGCATGCCACAATGGCTCCAGGCCTTTCAAAATCCTCAGGTATAAATAATATGGGGCAGCGGGAAAGAAACATCCTTGGGACACAACAAAGCACAGAACAATAGCTGCACGCGATTCCTGCGATACGGTCAGGACAAATGGGCACCGTTAAGGTCAACAATTTGTGAAGCTTTGTTTCTGCTGGGTTCTTATGTGAACAATAAACTAATCTGTCTGCATTAAGCAGTAGGACAGTGGACAGCTGTCATTTTCTGATCTCTGTATCCTAACGGGTTACCTTAGTAACAGCCTTAAGCTGTCTGTTGCCATGGTGAATGAGGTCCATAATTGCTGCAACAGCCCTGGAGGTGTCAAAGTCATCTGCAAACGCAGCCTTCACGGTTACTTTTGTGTTGGCTAGCCTTCAAGAAGAAAAGGTAACTTTTAAGATAAGACAAACAAGATGCCAGCAGTACGCTGAATTCATCAGCTATTCAGCCAGAGGGAGTCATCCAAAGGACAATGTCATTTCCTTCCTATCTGTCCTCTGATGGGCAGTGCCACACTGATCAGGGAGAACACATCTTTCAGTTGCAAAGGGAAAAACTTGATGCATCTCAAAATCCAAAGCGCTACATCCATTCAATAAATAGATGGTTAATCAAAGGAACCAACAACAGCAAAGGAAGGTTTGCCTTACTCATTTAAGAACATACTGAAAATGAGGTTGATATTAAGCACATTAACAATTTTTTTTTTTTTTCCCTGCAGCCCGTTTTTTATGCTAATGGCATATTTCTCTTCCAAAGCCACATCACGTGTGTTGCTCCAGTGCCTGTCAAGAGAGCTGCCTTGGGGCCGGCCAGGAGTCCTGTTGGCAGGATCTGGCTGGGACGCAGGCACTGCTTTCTCAATTCCCAGGCAAACTCAATCCCAGCCCTGGGACTCCACTCAGCTTGGCCCGGATGGAAAGGTCTGGCGGGACCGTTTGTGTAACGGCACCAAAGCCAGCAGTCAAGCGGCACTCACCGCCGCAGGACCAGTGCCACCCGCCGCAGCCACTGTGAGCGGGAGGATGAGTTCAGCAACGGGAATAAATGGCCAGCTGCAAACAGCTGCTGGGAGCGCGATTTTGTACATAGCCAGGCGAACTGGACCTCGACAGTGCTGACCCAAGGATGCCATTTCACGAGAAAGCTCAGGGAGCAGCGTTACCTGGGGAACCTCAAGCTATCCTAGCGCCTCTGGGGCTCTCCTTAACCCTGCTGTGCATGTGTCCAAGTGGTTTTGCCTGCCTCCCTCAGATGTCAGACTACTGCTGCCCTAACCCATTCCTTTCAACACTCTTCCCTGCTGGTTTCCCCTTCTTTGTTGAAGATCTACCACTTTCCTAATTAAGAGCTCTGTTTCACACAGTTGTTCTTACACTGAGTGATACACAAGTTTTGCTCTCCCACACTTTCTCCGCTGACGATCCGTTTCAACTTCCCTGCCTGCCTCACATCTCCCAGCCTTCTCTCTCACCAACAGGTCTCTGGCAGTAGACTCCCTTTTGCCAAATACCACAACTAGTTAATTCAACTCCCCCTTCCCCGTAACACGTTCCAGTGCCCCTTGCAAGCCTTAGCTGGTGCAGCCTTAAGCTCTCTGACAGCGAGGTGCCTGCACCACAAGGAAGCTGCCTCTCCCTGCTACAGCAAAGGACGTTTCTTTCCCCTCCAACCCTACATCCCAGAGCTGCCCACACATACATCATTTCAGGGCAATCAACACCCCTCCTGCCCCAACTCCAGAGCACTGCGCTCGTCTTGGCAGCTTTGCACCCAAACACACCATCTCTCTCTCCTGGAAGATGATCTGGTTTTCCTAAGGGACTCCAAAGAAGATTCTCCTCCTCATTGTCAGGGTCACAGCAACAATAGTTTCATAAAATCATAGTATCATGGAATGGTTTAGATTGAAAGGGACCTCAGAGATCATCTAGTTCCAAACCCCCTGCCATGGGCAGGGAAACCCTCCACTACACCAGGTTGTTCAAAGCCTCATCCAACCTGGCCTTGTACACTTCCAGGGATGAGGCATCGACAACTTCTCTGGGCAACCTGTTTCAGTACTTCACCTCCCGCAGAGGGAAGAATTTCTTCCTTATACCTAATCTAAATCTCTCCTCTTTCAGTTTAAATCCATTGCCCCTTGTCCTATCACTATACACCCTTGTCAAAAGTCCCTCTCCAGCTTTCCTGTAGGCCCCTTTAGGTACTGGAAGGCTGCTAGAAGGTCTCCCCAGAGCCTTCTCTCCTCCAGTCTGAACAACTCCAACGCTCTCAGCCTGTCTTCATAGGAGAGGTGCTCCAGCCTTCAGAACATCTTCATGGCCCTCCTCTGGACCCACTCCAACAACTCCATGTCTTTCTTATGTTGGGAACCTCAGAGCTGAACGCACTACTGGAGATGGGGTCGCATAAGAGCAGAGTAGAGGGGCAGAATCACCTCCCTCGACCTGCTGGCCACGCTGCTTTGGATGTGGCCCAGGATACGGTTGACTTTCTGGGCTGCCAGCGCACATTGCCAGCTCATGTCGAGCTTCTCATCCACCAGCACTCCCAAGTCCTTTTCCTCAGGGCTGCTCTCAATCCATTCTCCGCCCAGCCTGTACTTGTGCTTGGGATTGCCTGACCCACATGCAGGACCTTGCACTTGGCCTTGTTGAACTTCTTTCTTTCTTCTTTCCCTGTGATATCTCTGTCCTGGCCAGTTTCTTAGTAAGCCCTTCTCTCCTCTGCTGCATGCCACAGCACCAGCCAGCTTAATTACAAGCTCACATGCCCAAGGCATGTTACTTTCCAGTCGTTCCCTTTCTTCTCAGTCACTATTACACAGTTCTACTCATGAACCAAATAGCCTCACAACTTTAGTCGTAGCTTGCCTTCATCACTCAAGAGTGGCGAAGATGCAAGCATTGGGAAAGGAACACTAAATAAGTAACAAAGATTTTAAAAATACAGTGAACAAAGTGTAGCAAACTATGAGGAAAAGCAGCTGGCTAAACAAGAAAAAAAACCCACACCTGCCCTTGGTGAGGGCTGGCAGGAAAGACCGCTTCTCAGTCTTTTTGTCCTGCTTCTTAAACAGAACTCAGCATATACTACAGTGGTCTGTCCTCTAAGCCTGTCAGCAAATTATTGCTCACATAATCACAATCTTTCAGATGCAGGAGATGCACTTACCTTTCCCACAGTATGTCTTCTCTAACAGGGTCGCATACCAGCTGTCCTTTTATATAAGCACTTGCATCTCCAATAAATGAGGAGACTGCCTGAAGAAGGTGCTTCGCATCATCCATGCTCTCGTCACTAAATTCTACTGCTAAGAAAAAAAAAAAAGAAAAAATTATTTGGGCGTTACGATAGAAAGGATGTTGTCTGTCATACATAGGAACAATATCTGAGATGAAGTCATTCCAGGAAAAGTCTGTTATTATTTGTCACAGCAAACTTTTCTTACAATTAATTGCATATTTAATTAAAAACTCTGTTCTTCACGTGCACTAGGTGAATTAAATCAATACAAAAGACAATCATTACATATGACAAAGTATAACCTACTGGAAAGGTATCAGGCCGATTCAAACAGCGTCTGGAAGCTGACTGAAGCAATAGCTATTTGACTTTTTTTTTTTTTTTTTCCATTACTGAATCTCTCTGTGAAGTTATTACTCCAAAGCATTTGGACTGGATATATTTATAAGTGTCCTCCCCAGATTTAAGTTGGCAAGACATACCTTTGAACTTGCCCCTAATTTTGTTCCTATTCTAATTTAGGTAGACACAAGCTGTCTTTGGAGACTTCCAAAGATGCCTAATCTTCACCACTGACTCTGGGGAATACAGGCACTTAAAGGGCTATTTCACCAGCATCTAAAATCCAGATGGATCCAAAATTTTGCAGTCTAAATTCTGCTCTAGATATACAATTCCCTCACAACATCAAATCTAAACTGGCCACATCAATTTTTGAAGGCAACCATTAGAGAAAACACAAATTTTTTAAACTTGTAAGGGCATGTCTGGGATGGGATTCATCACACTCAGCTTACACACTTACATCTAAGCCTCTCCATAGTCACTAGAAAGAAAAACAAAACTTTAAGGTAAATGATTCATCACATCTAAGCAGAGCTCTGCTTTATCATGAGAACTGTTCTATCCTAACTCTACAGTGCTTCTCTTCTCAGGCTAAAGACAACATTAGCCCCCCACACTAACACAGCATCCGTGCACACGGACACCCGCACTGCATCCAGTGGGACTCCAGCTTCAGCAGGCAATTGCGCTTCGGCAACTACCAGCGCTCGTCTGTGCTGACTTAGGGTCAAGGAGGATCCTCTCACCTTGCCTATGCCTTCAGAAGCGCAGGACTGGTCCCCTGGCACTTGTACTGCAAGCTGCCATCAGCAAGAGGCAATTCTTTTATTTGTACAGTAACATGCAATTTTCTGTAGAAGAGCACTTGGACCCCACACAAGACAGCTCACCTGACTTTAGGTGATAAGGTGGGTAAGGAATTGGCTGGAAGGTCACACTTAAAGAGTTGTGGCCAGTGGCTCAATGTCCAAATGGAGGCCAGTGACCAGTGGTGTTCCTCAGGGGTCAGTACTGGAGTCGGTGCTATTTAACTTCTTTGCTGGTGATCTGGACAGTGGGATCGAGTGCACTCTCAGCAAGTTTGCTGACGACACCAAGCTGTGTGGTGTTGTGGGCACGCTGGAGGGAAGGGATGCCATCCAGAAGGATCTTGACAGGCTGGAGAAGCGGGCCTGTGAGAACCTCATGAAGTTCAACACGGCCAAGTGCAAGGCCCTGCACATGGGTCGGGGCAATCCCAAGCACAAGTACAGGCTGGGAGGAGAATGGATTGAGAGCAGCCCTGAGGAAAAGGACTTGGGAGTGCTGGTGGATGAGAAGCTCAACATGAGCCGGCAACGTGCGCTGGCAGCCCAGAAAGCCAACTGTATCCTGAGGGTGGTGAGGCACTGGAACAGATTGCCCAGAGAAGCTGTGGATGCCCCATCCCTGAAAGTGTTCAAGGCCAGGTTGGATGAGGCTTTGAGCAACCTGGTCCAGGGGAAGGTGTACCTGCCCATGGCAGGGGGTTGGAACTAGATGATCTTTAAAGTCCTTTCCAACCCAACCCATTCTATGATTCTATGACTTTAGTGGAAGTTATGTCCACCAAGGACAGGCCTAAGTTTAAATGCATTCCTTCCCACAATATCACGCCAGAGTCAATTACTTGTATCAAAGAACCACAAATAGCCAGTGCGATATTGCTTCACCATTTCATGCCTGACCTCTGCACTAAGGTACACCCAAACTACAGCTTGCAGAGCATTCCTAATCTCATCAACACTGACCATCACCTGTAGTTTCCACAGGAATCTCACCTCTGGTCCTGCACACGTTACAGCTGACTGCTTTGTGCAATTGCCCAGTGCTGCATAGACACAGACTCTTTAGAGCAGACAGACTGAGCAAGGGGATAGATCTAAGAGGACAGAAGCAGCCAGATGTGAGACCTGATCTCGGTGCCAGTAGCTTAAACCCCAAAGAAGCCTAACTGTTTAAACAGACTTTCTGTAGGATTTACCCCAGTATAACTAAGGCGTAAGTCTGGACCGCATTTGTCAGATTTTTCACTTGTGTGTAAATAAAAATCTGCATTACAGCCTCATTAACACTGGTTTTAAAATTAAGCTTTACTCAGCTTTTAAAAAGACCGACGTACAGACTTTTGGAAAACAGTGAGATATTGAAAGAGATCATTTATATCCACTAAGGTTACTCAACTGATTACCCTGGTTACAGGAACTCTGTGAGGAATACTTGATGAGAGTTTATCCCAACGAAGCCTGCTTTGATTAAAGCCATTCCTCTTCCCCGATTCATGCACTCTCCTAAACCAGTGCCTGCAGGCACTGCGAACCCACAGCGCGGCACAGGCAAGCCCAGCTCTACAAATCTTCACCATACTCCCTACATCTTCCCTCCTTTGCCACCGAGGGCATCACCAGTACATCATCAAATTACAAAAACATATGTTTATTAGCGCCAACAAGTGATTAAAGACCAGAGGGTCCAAAATGTTACAGTTCACTCAGGTTCACAAAACCACTGGAGCAGTTCTGGTGACCAGGAGAGCATCTGGGGGACAGAACCCCCCCTGCCTGCAGCAGGCTCGCAGCCCCTCCACCTAACTGCAAAAGCAAAGCCACTGCTGGTAAGATGCAAGAGGAAAAGCACTGCCTCACAATGGAGTCCCACAGGGCTTTGGAAACAGCACCTCTCCTTTTAAGGTGCACCCAGAAGCAGCCTGACAGGCACTGCTTGTGGCACCAAGGAAAGACCTTTTGCCCAACAGTCCCAGGTGGGCCAAAGGGTGGTGATTCAAACCAAGAAGAGGACAGAGGCATCAGCCAAAGCAGAAGATCTGGATCAGCACTGCTGCCCACAGAACTCAGCTTAACCCCAAGAAGTTCTGCTCCACCAGCCTGAGTAGGCAGAGAGGGTGACGGAGCAGAGGGACCCCAGCAGAGACATGCCGTGGAAGGGTGATGTCCTGCGTCAAAGCCTTTTCCCTCTGACTTTTCTCCTCTTCCCTACGGGCAAGGCATCCAGGCTTTATCATCCCTGCAACGACAACCATCACGGGAGGAGGCCTCCACTCCCACGAAACACAGGCACCACCCTGCACGTGCCCCTCCAGCTCTTGCCCCTCCATGGTTGGGGCAGTTTGGAGTCATGTTTGTCCCCAGGTGCCCGTCAGCACACAGGCAGGCAGGGGGTAGCCCAGACCACAAAAAAGGCCCATCCCAAGCTCCAGATCAGCCTAAACCACAGCACCAAGCACAAGCCATTCCCAGCTGTCAGGTGTTGCCCTCATCCGCAGGCCTACAAAGATCTTTTATAGGCTTGATCCAAGAAGCACAGTAACATCACTCAATCCCCAAAACTGGGTTTTAACAAGTACGAAAGGCTCTCCTTCACAAGCAGGGATGGCAGGAATCATCGCCAACAGGTTTAGACTAGGGAAATCTTTTTAAGAACAAAGAGAAGGTGCTTGGGATCTCACTTCTAATAAAAATACTTAGGAAGCAGACAACAAGATGAGGAGCGCAGTAAACTAATATTTCATAAAATCATAGAATGGTTAGGGTTGAAAGGGACCTCAAAGATCATCTAGTTCCAACTAGATCCTGCCATGGGCAGGGAAACCCTCCACTACACCAGGTTGCCCAAAGCCTCATCCAACCTGGCCTTGAAGACTTCCAGGGATGGGGCAGCCACAACTTCTCTGGGCAACCTGTTCCACTGCCTCACCATCTTCAGAGGGAAGAATTTCTTCCTTAGATCTAATCTAAATCTACCCTCTTTCAGTTTAAAGCCATTGCCCCTTGTCCTATCACTACATGCCCTTGGAAAAAGTCCCTCTCCAGCTTTCCTGCAGGCCCCCTTTAAGTACTGGAAGGCTGCAATAAGATCACCCCTGAGCCTTCTCTCCTCCAGGCTGAACAGCCCCAACTTTCTCAGCCTGTCTTCATAGCAGAGGTGCTCCAGCCCTTGGAGCTTTAGACAAAAGTGAGCTGACAGCAGGGACACAAACTGACAGGCTGTACAGTAAATATCTGGCTCAGCAGAGACTGACTCTGGCTCTTTATCTGACAGAGAATAACTGCACCCTACCTCATAGGGCAGAGGTGGCAAACACAGCAGACCTTCGAGCAATCCTTATGTGCCAAGTGGCTTGCTGGCACCACACTCTGACATAACACCACCATATCCTTTCATCAAAGTCACCCACATCAGCACAGCTAACCCTGTTTTTATCACAGGAAGGTATTCGACCTAGCGGTAAGGCAGAAAAAGGGTCACGTCCTTCTCGCAGAGGTTCAAATGCAGCCAGCTGCATGGAGAAGGCATGCAGGTAGCCCTCCGCTGCAGGGCTCCAGTGCCATTCCTTGCCTCGAGGCAAGCTTACAAATCGCCAGTCATTCAGCTTTAGTTTATAGGACAAACATATATGTGACAGTGTTGTAGATGTCAGCCTTTTTTTCTTCTTCCTTTGTTTTAAATACACATTTGTTCAAGACTCCCGGGTGCCCCCAGCTGCAGCCAGGGAGCCATTTCTGTGTGCACAATGTATTTTCACCTGCTGAAATAACACAGCAGGTGTTCCCCTGTGCTCTACCATTCCCCTACCATGCCAAGGATGGCCAACGGCAGTGGTTACGGAACTACCATCTGTCTTCGGCAGGCCCCAAGAAACTGGTAAAAACACCATCCACATGAAAACCTCTTCCAGTTCAAAGCAGCATTTGCCTGCTGGAAACACCACAGTGTAGACAGGGAACCTGACAAAACCTTCCACACCTCTCCCCACCAGCAGTGTTGGCCAGGCTAAGACGATCACTGGGTTATCATGCACTAGTGTAAGTGAGCCGCGCTGCGCTGCAGAACTGCTTGAACACTCAGTAACTCCACGGGACAAAAACGATAAAACAGCAGGGAGACAGAAGGTTATTACCAAGCCCTTGTCATACCCTACGGGAATATAAGGCAAAGATCTACCTAGACACGTCTGCAAAAACAGCCAATGGTGACTGAAACACAAGTGACTGCAAAAGATGCAAATGAGAGATGGACGTAATTCATTAATTGCAAGTGCAATTAATCGCAAGTCACAATTAACTGCAGCTCAGGAAGGTATTTCGACGAATGGTTAAGTACTGTCCTCGGTAAAGATGCTTTTCCAAATGAGAGCCAAAGAGCAGCCCTGCAGAGCACGGTCAACCTTCCCACCTACGGGACGGAAACTGCAAGGTGCCGCAAGGAGAGCCCGCTCCACCACCACACCACTGTGTCCCCAGCTTGGGAAGCGTGCATGGAAAGCCATGTGTATCTCAACAAATAAGGGTTTGGGGTTTTTTCCTTACCTGAGCTGTATCTGCTGCGCAAACAAAACATCCTGAATTGATCCGACGAAAATTTCTTCAGGAAATCCTAAACTCCGCCCACAAAAAGACAGCTTTAGCATTACATCAAACAATTTCTTCAGTTCATCCATCTCCTTACACTAGTTTCACAGCGTATTCCAGGCAAACTAACATCACAAATAAACCAATCTTTGTAGTTTAAGATAGGCATAAAGCTTTAAACTATAATACTGGTTTAAAGTATAAACTAAATAAAATCTAATTCCATAGATGATGAGATGGGCATGTATATATATATACACAAGACCTAAATATACACACAATGCTAAATATAAGACAGTGAAAAGTACTTTGTAATTATGATCAAACATAGACTGTATAAAGACTTTTGCAAAAAAACAAACTGAAATCACCAGACTAAGACTGAGATACAATCTTGCAGGAAAGGACAGCTCCTGAGCTTTGCAAACTTTATGAAAAAAGAAAGATTTCTTGAAAAAGAAAGTAAGTGTACTTTTTCTGCAGGACTAGAGTATGAAGGAAAACAGGGAGTGAACAAAAATAACTTTTTAATATTGGTAGAATTTAGCTGTGTTAATTGTGAAACCTCATTAATTTCACCCTAATATTTTTCTAGCTTTACAAATAATTTACTATAGTAAATAGTAAATTATTAGTATTACTACTAGTGTAATTAGTTTATACTAATAATATAAAGAATTATTTAAATGCTTGGAAGGTACACTGATGAAACATTCAGTCACTTCCAACTCTGCTCTCAGCAAAGCTGGACACTGTGGCAAACTGACTATGAATATTGCATTCCTGCTTTTTTTTTTTTTTAATTTGCAAATCGGTGATGGTAAGTTTGTACCACACCAAAGTGCCACTGAAATAGAAAATCATAAGGAGAAGTCAATACAGGTGAGAAAATATGGAAAGTGTCATTTGCTTAAAGATGCATATTTCAAAATTCAGCTTCTGCTACCAGACTAAAACAGCCTGAACGCTGAAGGTAGCAAAGCACCAGCTATGCGCATATCTGAGGCAGTCAGGGCAAGCTAAATCAAGAAATAGACAGTGATACTGTTTGTTTTGGTAGGTGGCTTTGTTTTGTTTTGTTTTTCTTAAATAAACTCTACATAACTGAGCATACCCAATGCACCTAGAAGCTTTACAGTAATACATAGAGGTATGACAACATGATTAAAGCACAGAAATAAATTCAAATTTGGGAAAGGATCATCCGAACTGGAAAAAACAATTCTGCATTTCTTTCAAAATGTAGCACAGGGAAAGTATCACTGCTCTTTCAAAGCAGGGTGCTCAGCCATGCGTTATTGCAGAGTGCTTGATTTTGGAGCCAGAATTAATAGCTATTTCAAAGGGGAAAAAAAACCAAACAAACAACAAATCAGAGAAGGGTGTCCCAGACAGGCCTCCCCTCTTTCAGAGCAGGCATAAAAACTTCCATGTAGGGCTTAACTTTCAAGACCACAGTAGGCTGTACAGCAAGCAGTTTTTTGGGTTTTTTTTCAGTTTCACTGGACTGAAAATAGCTTCCAGGGAAGGATTAATATTTGTTAGCCACATGTAATGGCAGAAATTAAAAGCAGAAGAGAGTGAAGAAAGATGAGCCTGAAGTTCTTGTTTTGCAAGACAAAGGAGTCCCACCACAGACGTGGAGGGGAACATTTCTGTATGTTATTTTTAACTGCACACATTGCATTTGTGGTCATCTCTCCACCCTGTCCAGTGTTCTCTGAGACTCGGGAAATTTCTGTGAAAATTGTGAGCGACAGGTCATTTTGCTGGGGGAGATAGGGCTTAACTGTATCCAGACAACATCAGGAGAATTAAGAATAAAGCAGCTCATACTGAACTCCTTTTTAAAGGGATTTTAATTAAGTCTTCTGAGAGGGCAAAGGGGAACATATGCGCCAAAACAGCCTCTCAAGCTTTGTCTAAAGGAAGGAAATTACCCACTTCTAGCAATAGCTGTCAGCCATCACGGGAGCCACCCTATCACCAAGCATAGCTGTATTGCACACGTCCGGCAGAGAAATACTGCTCTGGGCTACACCAAAAACTTTGGGACACAGTTCCAAACTGGAACAGGACACATTCATATAGCTTGTGGGCACCAAAAGACAAAGCTCTGTGTGCATCAGCAAGGTGACCATATAAAAATAAAGGAGAATGCCAGAGACCACTGGCATAGTGCGGTTGCAGGACACCTAACAGCTTCCTGCCAAAACGCTGACGCTATGTCCCATTCCACCTAAAGCAGAACAAGCAAAAACACCCACTCTTTTCCAAGTCCCAAAAGCAGATGCACTTTGAAGAGCAGACAGACAAGAGAGAACTCATCACTACAGAACAGAATCGTTTAGGTTGGAAAAGACCTTTGAGATTGTCGAGTTCCTACTATAAACCTGTAATGCTGAAGTCTGGTGCTGGGCACAAACGCTGCTCCTACAAACGCTCTCAGCTCAGTAAGATCCACGTTATAAGCAAATCCTGAGTCCAAGTGGGTTTCCTACATCCAGATTCGCACTAACAGGTACACCAGCACGAGAGAAACACTCAATTTCAAGTCTTTCACTGCAGCAGAAGCACGTGCTCCAGCGTTTGCACAAAAGATGGCTGTGATTAACATTTACATATTACAAACATACATTGCTTCAATTCACAGAAATAGATTACCTTAATTGTTACATAGTTTTTTAATGACTTGGACATTTTTTCTTGACTTCCTTTCACATGCAAATGCCCTAGAACAACAACAAAAAATTAATTAATCAGGATAAACAAGCATGTTTCTGAATGAGGAGTAAATGAGAAAGACTGCACTGAGACACTGGAAACACTAGAGGCAGCATATGCTGTGATTGATATGCGACAACCATTTCAATGTAACATACAACATATTTTTCAGTAGCTTTGCCTACAGTCCTGCAAAGCTCTCCTTCCTCAACTTTGGCTGGCTGAATTTTAAAACATAGTAAATAAATTTATTTTTTTAAAAAACAAAACAAAACAAAACAAACATCAACAATAAATCACCACCATCATAAGCAGAGACATTAAGGAAAAGAAAAACAAAAAGTCTCCCTGCTCAGAATTGATAATAAACTGATAAAAACAAGCAAGCAAATACTTTTTAATCTTCACAGAAAAGTACTTTACCAGTTACTCCTGACTTTCCAAAAATATTTTAAGACCTTTAAGATCTTCTAGTGATCTCACATTACAAAATTCTTCAAAGGCAAACAATTCTCTGTACTTATTACTTGCTGGTGGCTGTTACACTTTTTTTTTATTCCAAAAGTTTATTGTACTGGTTCAAAACACCTTACCTGTAAAAAGATTTTTTTTTTTTGCATATTCCCTGTTTCTCCAGACTTTGGGAGACGGAGAAAAAGAAGGGGGAGTAAGGGATGTAGCTATGATGCCTAATTTGAATTATCTTATTTTAAAATGCAATCTCTGAGCACTGCTAGTTTTAATAGCCACATGGACCGTCAGTTTGCAGGGCTGTGGTACAGGAAAAAGGCAGTAACCATCTCCATTGCATTTAGGAGAGTACGTAGAGCTCGGCTTCAGGACTGAAAGCTCTGTCGAAGCACGACAGGAGATTGGCAACTTCAGGCCGTACACTCCTGGGCCTCATCTGCGCGAGCCACAGCACCACTGCTGATGGAAAACATCAATTATTCACAGTGCCAGAGAGATGCCAAACACATAGCCAGGAAACCACTACTCAGCATCACTTCAGAAGGTTGTTAAAAGCCTTAATTGGCTTCTCCTAATAAAGGAGCAATGCTGTAAGTTACCGAGCATTCACAACCAACAAGCAATTTTCAGGCACTTCGTGATCTGCGGAAGCCAGCACTTAGTCATACTTGGAGGCAGATTTTTAAGCATGAACTTTTCTTACTCTCTAATACCGCATCAGTGCTCTGCTTTCCTTCAGATTTAGCAGCGCCAGCATTACCAATGCCTCAGAGTGCTCTGCGAGGACAACACACAATTATGCTTCTGCTTTTACAGGAGGTGGCAGAGGTGGCATTTCTTGCTCAGCAGACCAATTTTGAATTTTGTGCTACTCTCTGCACAGCGCTGCTTTTGCAGCCTTGCCTGGAACCCCCTCTCTTGCACAAGCAGACAAAATCCCCGTTATGCTCATCTGGATACAAAAGCAACACGCTCAGGTCTGGTAAAGGGGCATAAAAAGCAGCTGGTTTCACGTCTTAGCTAGTTCTGACAATGACTGAAAGCAGTGGGGATTCTCCATGAGAAGGCTACCTCCCGTGCTACTCTGACCACATGGAAATTTAAGTTTGCACAACACACTCTATCAAGGGTAGGAAAGAATCCAGAGATCTACAGGTCCAGAACCAGCTACTGCAGAAATCTATGATCCACCCAAAGTCTCATTTTCATTGTTTTTGTCCTGCCTGCGAGCAGGTGAGATCATATTGACCACTGCCTGGTTAAACTCAGGGCCCTCAATAAGAACATTCAGGCTGTCAGAGGCACTGGACACCTGCAGCTCTTGTGATTCAAGTAAAACCCACAGACAAACTTCTCCTGGGACAAGGTGAAGAGCCTGGGTACGATTACTATTTTTTTTCTTTTGCAAAGGTGCCTAAATATTGACTGACTTAACTTTAGGCAGCCAAGTTTAAAACAGTTTATGTTTTCCTAATAAGGTACAGGTAACATCTGAATTTTAAATAATACTCCTCTTCAAGAGTTTCAGCACTTAGAAGGATTTCATTAAAGAATCACAAAATTCAAGGATTTTCATAACTTTGGCTTGGCGCTCTTCCCAGAGTACAAGTAGTCTAAAAATAAAGTCCTTATAAGAAGATTTATCCCTGGTGCAGGGATTTTCTTCCTCTAATGGGGATTGCTCCTCCACTTCTGAGCCTGTTAAAATTCCGAAGTCTGTTACCAGAATAATTTGTTTCTGAAGCTGACTCATTTGCCCTAAATAATTCACACCATCGTTCTCCAGCAAAATTTTTTGACTCAATGAATGTAATCTGTCAACTCTTAGAGAACCTCAGTGTACAAATTGTCCTTAGAATTAAGGTGGGGTTTATTATTATTATTATTTTTATTCTTCTGTTTTAAGAAAAATTTACTCCTTTTTATTTAGTTAGTTTCAAAGAATATTTCCCCTATAGTTTCAATTCCAAGCTCGCAAAGTTTTCGACAGAAGGTTCTATCTGGCAGTAACCAGTGCATCTCAGTGGAAGCGCCGAGAATTCCCCATCACTCCAAGTGCAAAGCACACTCTGGAGGGAGCACCAGTCTCTGGACAATCGCTATTGATTTATGAGAGGGAACTGAAACTAGAAATCAATATTCATCCCGTACAGTACAAATGTTTATAAAAAAGAAAGCCCAAGCAATTCCCAGAGCATAGCACAGGCTTAACTGCATCCCTTACTCAGGGAAGGGGCTTCAAAGAGGTCACCGAGACGTCTTGCACAAGGTACTGTTCAGCAAGAAAGAGACTGCAGATTTGAATCTTTCTATTGACTTCAATTCTTCAGAGATCATCCAGGACCACCATGACTATGACAGGAAGAACAAGTTTCAAGATTTCCATCAATGGGAACAGCGCTAGTACCATCTGACAATGACGTAGTTCGAAGCACTGTACAGCACAAACTTCACTGAAGCGCTATCGTGCAAAGGCAGCAAGGAGCAGTTCTACATAATGCCAGGCAGTATTGCATACCAAAGATCAACCAGGCAAAAGACACTTTGGTACAGTTCAGTCAGGCATAGCTGGCAAGGTCACTGCTGGGGGATGTGACAAGGTCTGTGACACCTACAGGGTACATCAATACCAAGTTGCTCACACTCTGTAGGAAAACAGAGATACACTGAAGATGGTCTGAGCGCTAGAGAGAGTTAAGGGACCATAGCAACGAGACTCAATGTCTCCACTTTTCTACAGAGCCTAGGGGTGAATGACTTGGTCTTTATGTAGCCCATACATGTCACAGACCTCCTTGTCTCTACCCACCAGCAACCTCACTGGCCATGCCTGACCAGAGTAGACCAAAGCATCTGGCTTACAGTCTTCAGCAAGAATCTTGTTTCTCACACCCATCGCCAGGCGTAATGTTACTGGTGAATAAAAAAAAGCTTTCCAGGAGAATTTGAATAGTTACAGGTACGTGAATTGCACACCTGGAACATCCAGTGATCAGTTGCTGTGGCAGAGCATCTGCCTGCAAGGCTTCTCTCACATTTCAAACTATACAAAACATCCCAGCTCAGACATTTCTCTGCAAGATCACAACTTTGTGAGCTTTGTCGGTTCATCTGTTCCTGTATCTTAACATTCTCTCCATTCTTATTTTCTAGCAGCACAGATGTCTTTTCTTATCATGATTAAAATTCTTTCACCATATTTACAAACACAGGATACTTCATTCCACATGTTACTGAAAATTTATTTTTAAGCCCACAAGCAATTGATGCTGAAAGACATTGGAGAACAAGACTAGTTTATTCTACTCTCAGTGCTTTAAAACAGTTACAACCAGCTACCTGCCCACCGGCTACCTCCACTCTCTGCCTTCAAATACTGTGAGTTCTGGTTCTAAGACAGCAGGAACTTCTGGGTTTAGGAGGATTCCATAAACACATATGGAAAATATCAACTATTTTCACCCTCTGTTTTATAAATCCTGCAGGACTGTTACAGCCAAAATACAATTAAAGAAGAAAATCTATCACCAAGAGTACCCACAAATTTTGACGAAACTCAGATGAAAGGGAATGAGATTCTATAGGAAACTCTTCTTTCCACATTTTTAATTAGAAGTAAACACTGTACATGGGCAATACATATACCGTTACTATTTGGACATTTCCCCAGATGAAATTCAAGAGTATTTCACTGAAACTGCTTTGTAAATAAAGGCATTCATTCTACAGTTTCAAGATTCACTCATTTATGTTTCTTCATTTAGTGAGGACAGGGACCTGGTCAATGTAGTAGAGCATCTGTTTTCATACCATACAAACACCAAACCTAAAACCCAAAACCATTACATTTGTACGGGCCTTTCAGGTGATTAATATTTCACTTACCAGAATGCAAAAAGTAATTCCCCCATTGGTCACACTGATGATACACCTCGCACTGTGCGATTTCATTTTCATGATGAGGAAATGCAAGATCTATTCCACCAGTATGGATGTCCAGCTGCTTTCCAAACACTGCACTGTAACAATATTTTCCTGATCGGTAAGTAGAACACTACAAAAGCTTTTTGTAAAAAGAAATACAGAAAAGAACAAGATGAAACAACAAAAATTTAAGTGTACAATTTAATGACTGCAGTTTTAAAACAAGACTTCACACAGATCTTGGATACCGAAACTGCAGCAGAACTTGTATGGACAGGACCCTTATCTGCCTGCAATTAATTCTCCTTGGTAGGAGCAATTATTTTTCTAACCGAGATTAAAGAATGGCAAGCAGGACATCTCCTTGCCTTGTTCTGTTACAGTTTCAGTATCAGGTTTGCAGATCAAGGCAGCTGTCTAACAACTTCAAAGTGAAGAAAATTTCTGTAAATTTGGTATTGCTATTCTTTATCTTGTACCTTTTCCGTAAGAATTCAGGCAATACCGTATGCAGTCGTCATAGAAAACACTTAGTCCTATATTGTTATGATGTCCAAAGAGCGTGTCAGTGCCTCTGATATCCGAAGCCCATTCCTCTCATCCCAACGGCACTGCTGCACCAGTGCAGGTCACTCATGGGCTTACATGGCACAGGCCTCTCTGCAAATACTGGTGCTGGAAGTAAGGTATTCATGTGGCAATAGGACAGATTGCGATAGGAGTCAAGGCTGCTACGCTCTGTCCACGGCTCCAGCAAGTCTCTGCTAGGTCACGCTGGGCAAGTTAATAATTTCATGTTGCCCATCTGTTAAACACAGACAACACTTACCTACTCACAGGGAGGTAAATCAATGCTAACTGCCTGGAAAGCAGGGGCACTCAAGCTGGGGAAGATGCAAGGTCTACCCGAGTAGAAAGTAAAAGGCAAGCCCCACACATGCATGCACGTGTGTGTACACACAGACACGCAGTCTTCCCAAACGTCACCTCAACACGCGGCTCCTGGTAGCTGGCTACACATTAACACTTTGGTCCCTTTTTTGGGGCAAAACACTCTGTTAACACCCTGGCTCACGATGGCTCTGTAGAAGCAGTTGGGGCCCAGGAAGAAAAGAAAACGAGGAGAAGAGAGGAGGGAAATAAAACTGGCTGTTGCTATTTCCCACGCTCGTGCCCCTCTGCTTCCTCCTGCCCACTCCAAAGCCAGCTTAAGCACGAATCTTCCCAGGAGCTGCCCCAGCTCATGCCTCCCCTTGTGCCATCTACAGAGAAGCACTGCCCACTTGCTGTTTCTTCCAACAAAACCATCAAAAGCTGGGGACATGAGAGAGACAGATCTGCAAAACACTGACGGGCAGGAGGAGCAGCCCATCTCGCCGCCAGGGAAACTCCAGAGAGAAGATCAGACCTAAAAATCACAGCAGGTGGTTCCCTCCTCCAGGGCTGCGTTAGAGACCAGTGCCTTTCTCATTCCCCTTCCCCAGGCATGCTCCAAAGACTTTTCCAAATTAGCTCACCTAGCTTACTTAAAGTGGTTCGAGATCTTTGGCAAAACAGACAGGTAAGTAGGCATTGCTTAAAATGGGCCTTTGACAGCTGACTGGGATGGCCAAACATTTTAGGGAACTTACCAAAATAAGCTCTCTACTTTTCACAGTCCAAGATTACTACACTTATGCTCTGCATGGGTCAATTCTTATTTACATGGCAGGAGCCTCATCCAGCTGCAGTAAAGTAAGTTTTTCCAGAAGGAAATGCAGACTATAAAGAGCACCACATTAGCAGATAAGCCATTTTGTAATGGGCTGGCATTTCTTACCTAGCATGCACTTCTGTCACAGGCTGCACTTCAAATACAGCATGTTTTTGTGCACTTCTGTTGCTTTAAGAACTGTTTCATGGTGCTGAAACTTTTTACAGACAGAAAATTACCTTTATAAACACCTTTCACAATCAGGTAGTAATGGCTAACAATCCTAGGTGCACCAGCAAAGCATATGAAAGAGAAACCTAAAGCACCTGTTCCATCCACTTTCAGCTTAGGTTGAAAACTCTCAAGTTAAACAGGGCTAGATCTAAATAATTTGTTATCAGCTTCCAAAAAAATATCTGAGACTAATGCAAAACTAAGTACCACTATCAATCTTCCATGAGAGAAGAGTCAGAGTCTCTTTTTTCAAAGCAAAAATTAATAGGTCAAGTTAATACCGTCCAGGACAAAATATTACTCTCCTGTGGAGAAAATAAAACTCCAAATTAAAAGCAAATTAATTCAAACCAATTACAAGCAAAATGCTACTATACACAATTTGCATTTGCCCACAGAATATGCTGCCACAGAGAAATCAGAGTGTTTAATACTGTGGCTTGACTTTTAAAGAGAGCTGAATCACACTTAGATGATTAGCATGCATATCCACCACCGCTGTTAAGATAAGGCCAGCAAGATCTCATATGCTCGCTGGAGTCAGGATGGAATCCTATACCCTGTCCTCCTGACACAGCACTACATGCTGGACTAGGTCCGATGGAGACTGCAAGAAATGGAAGGGAGGCCAATTAAAGAGGTACCGTAACTTTCGCTGCAACTTTGGTTACTCGGCTCAAGTTAAAAGACTTGCTAATCAACTGTGCGATCCTGCAAGGCATATTTCGAATACCCACGTCTGTCTCAAGGGAAGGTGCCAAAACATAGCAAGACAGCTACGCCATTAAGGTGGAGCAGAGTTTGTCTGGGCCCCATGTGACATCTCAAATTGCGCAAAACGCTCACATTAAAACTGGTGCTTTCTACTGATCAGGAAAAAAACACTTCCAATACTGCTGCTACCATTGTACTGTGACTGAAAACAAAAACCAGTACTAGATTTAAAATCCAAGAAATCTAACCTTGATATAGTGGAGCATTCAATGTGCCATCCAGGTCTTCCCTTTCCCCAGGGAGAAGTCCAAGATAGCTCTTGAGGTTTGGCAGCCTTCCACAGGGCAAAATCTTTACCATGCCGTTTATCAGTATCAACTGCCAAGAATAAGCGATTTGTTAATGGGATACATCTCTAACTAAGAAGATGAGCAAATGAAAGCAGGTGGAAATATGTGGTTAGAGAACTACTCAGGTATTTTTTGCTCAGCTTCTTTTCCTGCAGCCTTCCTCCCTTCCCCTTACACACAGGGCCTCCAGTTTCTCAGTTAAGCATTTGGGAAAAAAAAAAAAAAAAAAAGAGTACTCCAAATTAAATTTCTAAAAAGATGTATTCAAGATTCTTTAATATATCCTATCCTTTTAGTTCTTTTGGCCTTCTCTGGTTTTACATCATTTGTTTAGTTACTTATCAGCCAGTTTCTCAGGACAAACAAACTGCACTGCAGCACAGAAGGTAACAAAACCAACCCAAACCAAAACCCACAAACCAAAAAAAAATCCCACGTTTTTTTTCTCTGGGACACAAATAGTTTCTAGGTCAGATTCTACAAAACCAGGAAGAGCATGCAGATGAGAATCAAAACTATTCATGGACCATAGGACCCTTCCAGTATCATTTTCACCAACGGCCTCTCTACAAACGTCTCGTCCCCAGCTATATTTGTTGTCCTCTTTGCTACACAGCCAAGGCTGCAGCCCTCTTTGCCACAGTACGGCAGCGGGGACAGTTCGCCTCTGCTGGCTCCTAACCTCCGATCGGACACACACCGCTCCCCGGCAGGAGCTACAGAACAGGGTTCTGGATCCTGTATTTTTTTTGCTGACAAATACATGACCTTGCATTTGACTGATGTGGAACGATAGAGCTATTTGGCCTGAAGGGATCCAGCTTGGCAAGCAACTCGCACTGTTTTATGTTCCCTTATTTAACACCAGTGGCTCATCTGTTTTATCAGCAGTTGATGCTAGATTTACTTCTTTCCTCTACTTATTTCAGATTGCTAACAAAACCACAGTGCATCACTGGGTTTGAATCAATCCCTGGAGCATTCCAATACCAACACATTTTAATGACGATTCACAGCTATTTTTGGAGATCTATTAGATGGTCATTTTTCTTGAGCCATTCTGCTTCTACTTTATTGATATTATACGGAGTCAGTTTTTACTCGGAACGTCATGCAATATTAAGGAAGGCACATTACAAAAATCCATTACACCTGCTTCATCATTCAAAATTTATAAGAAATAAAGGGACAGAAATATATGAAGATGACAAATCTTCACCTTGGCTTTTTTCACTAGTTTGCCAAGCTCTGGCTGACCAGTATCTGTTGACTCCATCCCTCTTTCCTTTTTTTGAGTACATTGCTACAAAAAAGCACTCTTCACTTTCTCGGTTATAAACAAAACAACAGTCAAAATCATTAGAAATAACAGTAAATTTAGTTGTAAGTGACCTGAGGGGAAACAGGGTAAAACACAGCATCAGTCTTGAGCCTTCTCTTCTCCAGGATGAGCAGCCTCAGCTCTCTCAGCCTTTCCCCATAGGAAACATACTCCAGTACCTCCATAATATCTGCGGCCCTTTGCTGGGGCCACTTCTCCGGTATGCCCACGTCTCTCGTACTGGGGAGCCCCGCTCTGGACCCAGCGCTCCAGGCACGTCTCAGCAGTGCTGAGCAGGGAGGAAGAATCACCTCCCTTGACCCTCTGGCAACGCCTTTGCAGCCAGTAACTGCCTCTAAATAACTGTCGACAAAACGCATTCCCTCTGCGGGTTGTAATGCTGATACAACTCCAGAGCGGAGCTGTGAGAAGTTTCTGGCTGCGATTCTCCTGAGCATCAGCCTGCTTGGCATTTTCAGTAATTGCAAAAAGATTTTTTTTTTTTTTCAATGAAGAAATATTGAATTTCAGCATACGAAAGGATGCAGGAGACCTGCATCAAATTCTCCAATGCAGAGACCTGATCGTACTCAACTTACAGAAGCTACAAAAAGGCTCAGCAATTCTGCTCGGCAGCCAGACAACTGCAGCAAAAAACAGGCAGCCAAGGGTATAGGCATTCTCTAGCACAGCCCATCAAGAGACTGCTCAACCCCACACAAATAGGCTGTTTAGCAGTAGTCAGGTGGTAAGTAATGAAAGAAGTAAATTCATCTGGTTAGCATGCATCAGAGGGTGCAACTGCCCAAAAAATAACACCATAGGTGAAGTTTCCCTGCATTAACCCTTAACTGTCTCACGGCTGGGCAGTGCAACAGCTGAGACCACCACTCCCAAGTATTTAAATAAAATTGATTAAGAACCCTAATTGTTGTAAGGTACCAGAACAAAGGTATAGGTGAAACCAAGTATGAAAAGAAACCACCGAGTTTCCTCTTGCACCGGCAACAGCAAGTGCCTCAATAAATAATGACAAAAGCAATCTAGTCTTAATTAACCAAAAAGCTGGCTATAGACAACAGGTTAGAAAACTGGTTCAGGCTGTTGAATGAAAGTTTACACACAGATACATCATGAGCTCAAACAACACGTTAATACAAACAAGCTGGTGCCACGAACTTACCTGCTTCATCTTGGGTATCAGGATAAATAGTAGTTAGTACTCCATATCTTTTTCCCCAAGACTTAACGTCAAAATAAACATTGCCTAATAGAAAAGAAACATTTAGTTTTATAGCAAAGATGGGGTATGTTTTTGATAAGGAGACGACATTTCCCTGAAACCAAAACAAAACGTCCTTCAACTCTCATCTGAAATTCTGATTTAGAAATTCAAGAATACTGCAAAAGTAGTAGCATATGTTTCCATGTTAACAGCTTTTCAGTAACCTCACTGCATGTGCTCATTCTGCACATAGGATAACTTTGTACTCTGGAAATCTCCCCAGATTCTCCCCTGTCCACGCACAATCCGCAGTCTGACTGAAACGTAGCTTACTACTACGCCAGCTATAACACACTCAAATCCTTCTACAACCACCAGCTCTGCTAAAAAAAAAAAAAAAAAATCCACACATTGTGCTTTGCAGGCACATCTTTTACAGCACATAGGAGATACCCATCTCCTGTTCAGAGCTAAAAGGTTCCCCCAGCTCTCTTACAGAAGCCAGGCCAGGACTCCCCAGAGGAGCTTAGATAGCAGTTCATTACAATGAACAATTATATTAAGTAATGAGCTACACTTAACTTAGAAATCAAGTAAGAGCTGTTCTGCCCGCTCCTGTCATCACAAACGAGTTGCTCACACCCTGTCTGTTAATCAACAGACGGAAAGCCTGGCACAGGCTATCTCATCTGATCCCGAAACAGGATTACTAAGAGTGTTCATTTCCTGTGTGTGTGCCGAACAAGGAGTTGCCTTGCTGTAAGTCTCACCTTGTGAGGTTGTGTAAGCTTGTCCACTAGCAATTATTGTTTTTATAAAGGAAATTATCTGAGGAATGTTGTCAGTCACTCTCATGTATGTTGTAGGCGGAAGGACCTTAAATGAAGAAAGAGTAGCATCTCATCAGCCTGTACGAAACATACTGCTGACAAGCCTATTCCATCTAAGAAATAAACTTTAAAGAACATTCTCCTCAATTTTATGTATCATAAAAAGTATCATAAACAGGTCATAAGCAGCATTTCAGATAATACACAAAAAAACTCTTTGAGAAGTGGCAAAAAAAAATCCACTAATTTTTCCCAGCGGCTTCCTCCCTCCTTAACAACAGACAAGAAGCAAAGTCACCTGAAGTCAAAGAAAGAATCTTTGATGTACTATCTGTGAACCAACACTCTATTGCATGGGGCAAAAAAATCATGTTCCTAAAGAAATTTAACTTGTTCGTTCCAAAGCTTGGGTTTGCTTCTCCCCTCGTTTCCTTACTCAAAAGGTGTGCAACGTCTTTCCAGAAGAATGAAAAAGTAAATCAGTTTCCAAGCAACACTTCATCACGCGAGCAATCAATTTATTTTTTCAGATCAAACTGTTAAAATCAGATTCCTTATCAAAATAACTGCTTTAAAATACTCTTAAATTTAGAAGCTTCAGTATCTGTACCTTTAAGGCAGCCATATCTTGTTTGAAGTCTTCTTCATAAATACGAGCAAGAGCTACTGGTGATAGATTCATCTGAAAAAGAGAAGCGGATTAGTAAATCATAAATCAAAGTAGCAATATAAAATATTGCAATCTTTTATCAGATAGTTAATAGCTAATTGGAAGACTTACAGAGCCCCCAAGGTAAAGAGTCAGAAAGCCTTATTAATCCAACATTCATGAGGAGGAGATTTAAGTTATAAATAACTTAAAAGTAGTATTTCATTTACTCTTCCAAATTGCCAAAATATTAATACCTATCTTGTAAGAGAAAGCAACCAAAGATTAAAATAACAAACTCCTGTCCTCCCCCGTTATTTTCCTCTTGAGGAGGTCTTTCCAGTGACAAGATATAACACAATTCATGGGATGTGAAATTCATTCAGCTTATTGGCAGGGGACACCGATACCACCTACATGTCAGAAAGACAGATCAGAGACTCGCAGGATGAGACAGGATATTAACTTTCAGTGATTAAGAAAAATAAGCCGTTTTAGCTGATCACCGTTACTCATAGATCTCAGCACAATCAGGAGAAACAAACTGAAAACCAGTCCCACGCTTTGCCAAGCGCGGTACTTCTCAAGCACCTTCCCTGCATTCCTCAGTCCCGGGATGACGGCCAGGAACAGGGATCTTCACAGAAGTAATGAGAAAGCACAACCCGAAAGGAGAGAGACAACTTGCACGTGTCAAGATACTTGTTCTCAAATATTCAGAAGAGGCCAGGGCTTGAAAGATGCATGACGGCAAAACCTGCCCTAGCAAGCAAAACCATGATATCAAAGTGTTTCAAATGGCAGCTCTTACATCTTCTCTGAGGGGAACCTACTGGGGAAGAGGCAAGATTCTGATTCAGCTTGCAGAAAACTGAATCAGTAACAAAATAAATCCAGTTTCATCGCTTCCAATTAAATACTAGAGCATCTTTAAGGGGTCTGATTTTCAGAGTGCAGGTGGGTACCACTATTTGGACACACTCCTGGACAAGGAAGGAGTTCTGCTGAAGACAGATCAGATGCTCATCTGGCAATGAAGTGAGGAAGATGCTCAGCACTGAGAAACAAAGGCATGCTTCTGCCTACAGACCAGAGAGAGTCCTCTTCCAGATCCCAGCAATGGGACTCATCTCCCTAGACAGCTCAGCTGCTTCTTCGATCAGCAGAGAGACAAAGGGATGGGGAAACTCCTCCTGTTCAAACGGATGTTCAAAACACAAAGAGACTCATCTCTCTCTGAGAGGACCACTGAGGACGTGCAGCATGCTCATCATAGACTAGATGCCCAACTTTCAGGTTTCCTCTTGATGAATCTGACCAGAGGATGGAGAACAAGCTTAAGTACATTGATCCTACCGCTGTAATGCTTCAGCTACAGAGGTCCCAACAACAAAATCAGGCTACTGAGCTAGAGCCCTTGGCCATCCAAACAAAATGTGTGAAGCAGAGCAGGTATTTCAAAAAGTCACAAACAAGGCCACAACAAGATTACTTCATAAAACCAAATAATGCAGTAAATGAACACAAATTCTTTTAAAACATCATGTCATTTCCCCCTCCTCAAACATAAAATATCCATAATGTTCTACCAATAAGGAAAAAAAAAGCACACATATAGATTTAAAATGCCTGGGGGGGTTGTAGGGTTTTTTTGTTGTTAGTATGTTATTTTTTTGTTTGTTTTAAGACGGTCTACTGCCTTGGAAAACTGCAAGTAAATGGACTAAGGGAATACACGTCTATTTCTACAGGAGCGGCATGCTAGTATCCGTTTGAATGCAGTGCCCTATATTTAACCGCAATAGTAACTGTTTACTTAAAGATTAAATAAAAGTGACAACTGTCAATTCTCTAGCCCCAAGAAACAAGCTTAAAGCTTGCAACTGCAATGTGATGTAACACATTCATTTATCATCCAGAAGACGACTTACAGATTCCAAAATCAAAACAAATAAAAAAATCCAAATCGCACAATAAAACATAGAATACATTCTTAGTGTTTCAGAGTCCAAAAAACATTTCCAAAAAAAAAAGTAAATAATTGGAATAATCATTCACTCATACACCAAGCTCAGCTGGTAAAAAAAGACTGATTAAAATCCAACTGAGAACAACTTATAGCCATAAAACCTTTCATCACACCAACAACCTTGAGAATTCAGTGAAAGGTTTGGTTGTGTTCGTTTCTTTTATTCTGCCATTTTTATATTAATCCATCCACCACGCCTCAGTCTTATCAAGACTTACCCATACGCTCCATGTCAGCTTTCACGTAGGTGATGAACTCGGCAAGACTGATAAAGCTTTCCAAGGCGCTGACGTTGCAGCTAGATGCTGCTCAGCACCTTTGAGGAAACACCCTCAGCCTCACGTGCAGTAACACCGTTATGTTCTGCCTTTTACCATCGACGGAACGCAACGCTTCTCCAGAACACAGCCAGAAGCCAACTGGCTGCTAAGTTCTGGGGATAAGATACTCTCCAGCTGTGCAGAGGGTTCGCCCTGGCATTTTGTTCCCTGCTGGCCTCCCAGGCAGGGAGCGAGGGCAGGAGGACGCTGACTGCGGGTGCTGTAATGCAGCCCCCCCACACCTCTCCTTCTCACACCACTCTGCACTCATTTACCTCCACCCAGCTCTCAACACCCAGCCCTCCTGACTCCCAGCCCCAGTACTGCCATGCTAGGGGACCAGAAATCTCAACATTTATTATTTACTAATTAAAACAAACAAAACTCAAGGAAAAAAAAACCTACTCAGGTTAGTTTTCCTATGTAAGTAGCTGTAGAAAATACCAAAAGTTTGGGTCAAAGACTGCAGCAAACACCTACCTCGTTGGCTCTTTTTATTATCTTGTCATCTATGTCTGTGATCCCCATCACCATGATAACTTCAATTCCAAAAAACCTAGTCATTATCCTTCGAATTATATCAAACCTAACATAGGAGCTGGAAGAGAAAAAAAACATGAGCTTTTAAACATGCAGGAGTAAGAATAAACTGATACAGAAATAACCAACGGCACTAAGAGCCACAGGGACAATCTAAATAACCTAAGACTTGCAACGAGAAGGTCTTCAGTGCATAAAGTGCTTTTCCAAAACAAAGTGCCACCTGCACAAAAGTCAAGCAAATTTCCCTTGAACTGGCCTACCCTCTTCTGGCATTAGCGACACATTACATCAAATTTTCTGAGTGTTTTCTTTTGTTGCATCTCTTTATTTGAGCACCAAAGCACATATCAGAAGCTACGCGTGAGCCAGGAGACTCTCTCGAAGTGAACAGTATGAACAGACACACAGATCGGACATTCTTGAAACACATCCCTCGGGCTTTGTATATTCTAACAGGTTTTCAAAAGCCACAGGGCAGAAGAACAGGGAGAAATAAAACAGCCTTCACATGAAGTTTGCTCAGGGTTGAGTAACAACCACAACTACCAGCCACTAATAAGCTATTTCATCCACACACCACCACAGATCTTTTCTGATAGCAAAGAAGAGCTGTTCTGGGGGTTATTTTGTTTTATTTACACTGGGTAATAAATTTTCAAAATTGTTCAGGCTCTTCACCACAAAACAGAGTATTTAACACTGATAGATTGATGTACCTACAAGCCGTATAGGGCTGTGGCAGCCCCTTCTGCCCATCACAGGCCCTCTACTCCTAATTCTCAAAATACGCTTTGACTGAGTAAAACCCAATTGTTAGGTGAGATATTAGAAGGTGACCAGAGGCTCTGGGTCCGCCCGGCAAGGCGATGAGAATCCGCAGCCTGCGCTGGCTTTGGAGAAAACGGAGCCCAAAAGGATACTCCCAGACCTACAGGTTCCCATTTCACCCACAGCACCTCAGGAACCGTGACTCCTGCGGCTGTCAGAGCAAAGAAGTCCAAGTAAATACTGGAAACGGATTCGCATCCTTCCCCGTAGCAGCAGGGACCAGGTGGCATTAAGGTTCAGATTTACGGATGTGTAATATCTTGACAAAGAAAAATACTTTTTGTTGTAGCTGTCTGTACTACGCCTATGTTTATGAAAGATGCTTTCTGAAAGGTGGCACATGCTGCCAGAGAGACAGTTTTTAACGAATACCAGTTCACTAGGAGTAACGTTCATCTAATGTGGTGACACGATTCCGTAAGAATATTAAATTGGTCTTTGGAACCTGTTCAGAGGAACAGTGCCAGCATCAAAAGCTTGATATTAGATTTAACAGCTCTGCAGTCCTAGTTCCCACAGCCGACACAAATTTTGCACTGTTCCCTCTCCTCTGATCTTCCAACTGATTTGATTGGAAGAAACATTGCAAGAGCCAGAGCAGATCTCCTGGCACCTCAGAAAGCAGAGTCCTTACCACTTCAGGACTGAAAAGCATATCAAACAGTTGAAATCAGGGGAGCGGCAGAGCAGGCACAAGGGACTGAATGAAATCTCTCGTGCTTGGGTTTACTCTTATTTCTGAGCATTCAGTCAGGAACCTGGATGCCAACCAGGCTGCAGCTCATACCAGCACAATCAAGGGCAGCCTCAGAACGGAGGGAAAAGGTGATGTTATCTGCTGGTGTCATTTTTTCCTTTATACAGAATTAAGTTTTGGATACTGTATCAAGGCATACAGAGCACCTGTTTTCAAGTCTGGAAGCACAACACACTAGCGAAAGTTGGATTAATTAGAGAAATAAGAAACCCTGATGGAGGGGAAAGAGGAAGGGTGAAAGCTAATGATGCTATTTATTTTCAAATTCTTCTCAAGGATCTCAAGCTCATTTCCATTATTTGTTCCTGCATTATTACCTGCTGCGTTTGTTGAGCCTGCCACCAGTCAAATGTAAAAAGAAGGGGAAAAAAGGAATTCTAAGATAACACGCTGCAAGAGTGTGACAAAACAATGGTATTTTACATGAGTGGCACTGTAGCAACAGCCATCACTCCACTTGACTTCGTGCTCTTTCAAAGTGTTTCCTGGCCTGTAGACCCCCATGGGCAGCGAGCATTCCAGTTGTGCCTACAGAAGCTCTACAGTTGGATCTAGCTACCAGGAAAAAAAAAAATAAACAAATTAAAAAAAAAAAGAAAATCAAGAGTGCTCCACCATCCTGAACAAATCAGCTGAGCAACAGGACGTCAACACTGATATGTGCAAGACCACAGACGCTGGGAAGGAACAGCCAACTCCTCACACGCTGGAGGGTTTAACTCATCAGAAACGAGAGAGGAAGGTGTTCGGCGCAGGCATCTTGCCGCACCACAGCGGTACAGGAAACAACACGTGAAGGCACTAAAGAAGCAGCAGAAAGAGTGTAACACAGCTACTTATCTGTATGATACATCGCTCCGAAGGTGATATTCAGCCCTAACTATTCCTTCTTAACTCAGCAAGTGAAAAGGTCAAACCCAGGTGGCACAGACGTACAGCAAACCTCTGTATCAGGAAAGCTTGAAATCGTTAGTTTAGACATTTGGGATAAAAAGAGACGGGTAAAAGAACAGGCAGAGAGAGCAAGACCTTCCTACTCCCTCCTTTAATCAAGAGAGCCTGAAGGCAAGACAACAAGGAGAACCACTGACAAAAACAGACATTTAAACGCCACAGAGAGATGGAAGACCAAAAGGTGAAATTCTCCTTTCGGAGACATTCACATTTACAAACATTGTGCTCTGGATCCACTATACCCCTTAGTATCTGTTCTAGCAAAGAGAGACCCGGGCAGAGCATGCCAAGGTGGTACAAGACACTCTATTCCACAGCCCCGGGTGCTGCAAGGAGATGCTCCTACCTCTCCTTCCTCATTATAACGTCTCATTAGTGAGACATTATGTTAAAAGAGCACCATGCACACATCCAGAGAGGAAAGAGAGCAAAAGAGCTGGAAATGCTCTGCAGACGCTGTTCCCTGCTTCCATTTTGCTCCTCATGGTATTAAAGATTGCCTTTTGCTCAGCAATCTCAGGAAGCATTTAAAACCCTAAAACACAAAATCATTAAATTAAAAAAAAAAATGTTTTACAGCATCAATCAATTGTGCCCTAGGGACAGGAGCACTTCTGCAATTCCCTCCCATTACAGCACACCTGGGAAGACAGGCCCTACCATACTACAGAACCTTGACTGAGTGATGAAGAAAAGAAATGTATTAGCATCTTTTTATACAGTTGCTATCAAGTGATGATTTTAATCTGTAATTATTTCAAGGTAAACTGTAACATAGCTTGTATTACAATAACTTTAGATTTAAATACACAAATTTATATTTTTTTAAAAAATCATAGCAAAGTTCCCCTGAAGGTACTATGTACAGAAAAAATAATTCAAGACATCGTTTCTTTTTTTTAAATCACCAGTAAAAAGCTTGGTTGGCTTTCTGCTAAGACCAGACAAAAGCAAGGAGGAAAAAGACACCACCACATACACACAACAGTACAGCAGCGTTTAAGAAGAGGTAGCCAACAGTATTTTCACATTATTGGTATTTTAAACCTTCCCTTTTACAGAAAGGAGATGTGATGCAGTACTACAATGGCTCAACATTGAGCAAAATCCAACGCAAGTTTCTGAAAGAAGTTGAGAAGGGACCAGAAGCTGTGAAATGCCCTACATTAAAAGGGAATTACTCAAATACAAGTCATCTGATCTTCATACGGATGGCAATTATCTGAGAAACCCCTGCTCTTCCAAGGAGTCCAATGTCTCTTGTTCTTTTAAGAATTCAGAGACAGTTGTTCTGAAGCATCTGAGCTGCTGCAACTCCCGCCAGCTTCACAGGCACCCTGCGTGTCTTCTTATCAGGTGCATTTTAAAACAACTGGCAGCAACCTTCTTCTGGTTTATTTATTTTTTTTCAAGATTACTTACAACGAAGCTGGTTTATTATTGTAATTACTCAAACGACCTATGGAGAAAATGCTGTGCTGCTTTGGTTGGGTTTTTTTAAACACATTAAGCCGTTGAACTGTTACTATGCAAAAATACCTTTAAGCTACCTGTACTTTCCAACCATGCTACCATATATATACCCAAAATAAATAATTTTATATTTCCAGCGTAAGAACAGATACTTTTACCTATTAACCTATTAACCTTAAAAGGATCTTTTTAACAGCCGACCCTGAACGGCTCTTCCTTGGTGCTGCCACAGCGTCCAAACTCAACTGGAGGCAGAACCATCGTTTCACAGAAGAGGCTCTGCTCCAGGATCCCAACTCCTCTGCACATGAGGTCACGTTACGCCGGTATGACCTGAAACCACTCACCCTGCCCAGCAAAAAAGCGCACTTTCTTCCTACTTTCCACCCCACTCTTTCGTCTCTTTCTGGAGGAGCTGCACCAACAGTCCCTTCCCTGCTTCCTGAGGCCAAGAGGGGAAAAAAA